ATGTTGAAATACATTTTAGGTTCCGCCATGGCTATTGCAAGGGCAATCCTAGAAAAATGGTGCGCACTTGGGCCGAGAAGGAAATGAGAAACTTGATCAGGTGAGCATTATTATGCCTTTTCTTTTTTTTTTCTTTCATGAACCTATTTTATGATGTTGGCTTTTATCACTGATGTGAATGCATTTACGTCAAGACTACAGACTGCACAGATTCTAAGTCCAGAGCCCATCATGTTGCGGAGCCACGTCCTCGTCATGAGCTTCATCGGTCGAGATGACATGTATGTAGGCATTTACAAATACACCAATAATTCTATTGTTTCGAGTTTTTCAACTTTTCCTAGATGATTCTTCAGGGCCCAGTTGTTCAAAAGTTATCTGATTGGATTGGGTCAAATCTTGAGTGGGTTGTTCAGAAGAAATAAAGGATTGGATCACAAAATCCAATCTTAGTTTTGCTCTGGATCTTACAAAACATTTTAGAAAGATCGGGATACCTTTGATCCAAAGAATTTTGTTGATCCCAGCAGAAGGGTGGATTTCAGGAACAAAAATGTATTAACTTTAAAACTGGTCAAAAATACAACATTTGTATCATGTAAGCAATAAGGTACAAGAGTCTGTGCTGTATCGTGAATAAGTAACAGCTGAAGGGCGTTGTTAGGCATGAGTCACTTCAGCCGCTACTTATTCACGATACAGCACTTGCCTCGAGTACTTTATTGCTTTTATAAAACGGTTAACACACAATAAAAATATTAAAATAACAAAAAAATATGTATTAGTGCAACTTTAATGAAGTAAAATCACTAAAAGCCTTCCTTCCGCTACAAAAAGAAAATAGTCCCTGACCGTGAACAGCAACAACGTTCCAATGTGTAACATGCATGAGAGCTCAAATAAAAACAACATAGGAACTGCAGTGTTGCGCAGCGATAAATAGAACCGTTGGGTGGAGCGTGTTTTATCATGAATAAAGCACAGCTATTGACCAATCAGAATCAAGGATTGGGACTAACCGTTTTATAAATGCAAATACAAATACATTTATTTATTTTTTCTTGATTAGTTTACCTGTTATAGTAATAAATTAGAAGTAGACAATAGGCTACCTATTAAGACTTTCAGTAGCCCACAGTAAAGTAGAAAGAGATTTTGATGCCATAAATAAATCCAGCTGTCTATATAAGACAAAAATATTTTATCTAAATTAAATTGTCGTTTATCACTGTTAATAAACTATGTAATATAAAATAGTTTCTAACAATTGCATGTATGTTTGTTTTTATTAATTTGTTTTGGGTCAGATGAGAGACCCGCGAGGGACAAATGATCTTTTACTGCTTTTCGCAAATGTTTTGCATTCAGCCAAGAAACTTTGCATATGATCGTAAAACTTCTCAGGTCTTTGCAAACGAACTCCGTTTCTTGGGTGAATGCATCCCAAAAAATATATATATAAAAAAAAAATTCTGAAATCTAGTATTTTTCCATCAGCATGTCCCTTTTAAGGGCTCTGTAAAGGCTCTGACTGTTTAAAATTGAAGGGGATGTTTGTATGGTTTTGGTTTGCTGTTCTTTCCCTTCAAATAAAAACACCTAAACTGACCCCATATTGACTATTGTACCTGTTGTTTTTTTACATTAGCCTACATTGTGATATGTGATCCTATTGAGTGCAATAGTAATCTGAAAAAAGTGTGTATCAGGGTGATCAATCCAATTTTGCTTTAAAAAAAAACAGCACAAAAGTTAGATGGATTACCTGATCCTGGATAGCAAAAAATGTGATTTCCAAATACATTTCATTCTGATCCAGTTTTCAAATGATCTTGTTTGTTTCTCAGGCCTGCCCCTCTACTGAAGAATGCTGTCCTTTCTGAATCCAAAGCCCGGGAACTCTACCTGCAGATCATCCAGGACATGAGAATAATGTACAATGAAGCTCATCTGGTCCACGCTGACCTTAGCGAGTTCAATATTCTGTAAGCTGACTTTATATTATGCACATGGTTTCCAAGTGTCAGGTAACGTTTGTTGATGTTCAGTTGTGCATGGTTGTGGTAGGTATCATAACGGAGATGCTTACATTATCGACGTCTCTCAGTCTGTTGAGCACGATCACCCTCATGCTCTAGAGTTTCTTCGCAAAGATTGCAGCAACATCAACGGTAAGCATGTGCAACCTCATAGACAGCAAATACATAATTAATATTAATATGAGCAAAACATGTTTAGATTCTAGTAAACTTGGGTAGTAACTAATTACCTTTTTACTCCCTCAGACTTTTTCCAGAAACATAATGTAGCAGTTATGACTGTACGTGAGCTGTTTGAGTTTATCACGGACCCCTCCATCACAAGCGACAACATTAATCAGTATTTGGACAAGGTCAGTTATTGTTCTCATTAGTCTTTTACAGCGTTTCTCTTTCTCCTGATTATTGTCTTATCAAACTTGATTTATTTGTGTGCGTATCTGTTGTTGTGTTGATCTAAAGTTGTATTTTGACTGTAATATGTTTGTGGTTTATCTGCAGGCCATGGAGATAGCGTCTGAAAGAACTGCAGAGGAAAGATCCAATCAGGACAAAGTTCATGAGGAGGTGCACTCTCTTTCAACAGTTCAATTTTTTTTCCCCATCCTAACTTCCAGAGTTTCCAGTCATGAAAAAAATCTTGCTTTTTTTTAATTGCGATTTGCAGGCCTGGAACAGTAATAGAAAAGTGGTAAAAATTAAAAATAGTTAAAATTAAACAATTAAAATGTAAATATTCAAAGAAAAACTTAACTTGAAAATTGTACACTTAAAAGCTACACAAACACAAATTAGAAATGTTTCTTTGGCAAATAACTGAAGTAAGTTTAGGTTTAGAGTTCCAATCTGTAACTTGTTTTGGGTTAAAAATGATCCAAAATAATTTTTTGAGCAAGTACATAACCAGCCAGTGTTCAACCCTATCTGCTTATATATATATATATATATACACACACGCGCTAGTACAGGGCTCGACATTAAGCCCTCACTCAGCAGCTTTTAAGGCCTCTCTGTAAGCAATCGAGCTCTCTTTCCATGAAACCCGAAACACATCTCTAGTTTTGTTTTCTTCCACTTCCATTTTGACTTAATTTGAACTGTCAATGTCCCATTTTCAATTGTAATGGTATTCAGGAAAACACCACTCGCCGTGCGAGTCACCGGCCCACAGCCATTACATATTTAAAATGGTAATATCCTATACTAAAACTAAACTAATCCTGACAAACTATATATCATTTGAAAGCTTACAATCTCTTCAGTCTTTCTGGTGATTTTCAAACTAAGTTACAGAGAAGCCGTAATTTATCAATTTGCAACAATATTTTCATAGTCCTAAGGCATTTTCAGACCTTTATTTTGAAATGGCGATGAACATAAAAAATCATGAAAGAGTGGTAGAAACCTTGAAACCTTTTTCATTCCAAGAGTTCAAAAGATAGCATCCATTAAATGAGTTTATTTTGTGTGAGCTGCACTCATTTCTTTAATTTCTCCTCAAGAGGTGGCGTGAGCCTCAACAGCGCAACCTTGTTTCTGTCAGTAATAGAGCAACTTACAATAAATGTAATGAAATCAGAATCATTCTCTCGTTTTAGTGATTCACTTGTTTTTATTTTTATTTTATTTATTATTGACGTTTTAATTAGGATACTTGTCCGTTCGGGCAAGTAAAATTCTCTTTTACTTCAAAAAAACCACTTGCCAGCGTTAATGTTGAGTCTTGATGGTAGTAATGGAGATGTTTGACATTGTTAAATAAATATCATTGTTTGAATTCCAAGGTTTCATATAAATGCAAACTCCCGGCTATCACTATAAAATGATATTTTTTTTAATCATGAAACTGGAAAAGTCATGTAAGTAATTGATGTGGACGTCTCAATTCAAAACAGGTGTTTAAGAGAGCCTATATTCCACGCACACTTAATGAAGTCACCCATTATGAGAGGGATGTGGACACAATGTTGAGGAAAAAGGAGGAGCATTCTTCTGAAGATACACGCTCTGAAAATGTACGTCTCGTCATCCTAAATGAACAGTTGATTAATGGCGTGAGAATTGATCAAAGTTGTTGAAATGATGCTTTTCCATTACAGATCCTATACCAGACAGTGACAGGCCTCAGGAAGGACCTTTCTGGTGTGCAAAAGGTGAGTTTGTTTTTAAAAAGACCATTTGGTATACTATATTATAGATTAAGCGTTAGGTTTAAGACGCCTTATGTGGCCAAGATTTGTTTTAGCTATTAATGCATCCACTAAGTCTTTTCATAATTCTCTTTTGCCTACATGGCATGTGGGAGGATTAAGGCAGAGGATATAAACAACTGTCGTCGCCAAACTCAAACGTCATGATGATGAGAAATCAGATTAAAAATGCTTTTGCTGAATTAAAAAAATAATAATAATTTGGCAGGTACCGTCAATACTGGAAGACTCCACAAAAGATGATGGCTCAAGCTCTGAGGAGGAGGAGGAGGAGGAGGAAGATGAAGAGGACAAATCAGAAGGGGAAGAGACTCAGGAGGTTGGCAACCTCAGTGAGGAAGCACAACTGGACAGAAAGGTATCTACTGGGAACAGAAAATGTCGCAGATGAATTGTGTTCAGTGGTTAAGAATAAGCTGGTATTTCTGTCTTTCAGGAAAGAAAGAAATTGGTTAAAGAAGCTCAAAGGGAGAAAAGAAAAACTAAAGTTCCAAAGCATTTGAAAAAGCGCAAAGAGAAGGCAGTCAAAAAGAAGAAATGAAAATGAACACGGTTCGGATGAAGGTGAACTGAGGTTTCATTAGAAATGCTACATGGCTAATGGTACCAGTATTGAAGCTGGGAACTCTACTGACGAAATGCCAGTCGTTTGACTGTTGTCAGCATTATGTAAATGTTTTTGAAATGTTTATTAAAAGTATTATTTTTAATAAACCTATATTTTCTCTGATCATACTGCTTGACTAGTTAGTTAAATGTCACGTTTTATTTTAGACTGACAAATCGATTACAATTTTGCTGTAATGGAACATTTAGTATACATACACAGAACGGTTTCCACAAATATTCATGTTTTACAAGGCAACATGCTGTTAAAAATTATGCTTTTTTAAATATTTAAGTGACAAAAACCTTTACATTTTACATTCACATTCTCTTTACATCTTATACATTTAACATTGCATTAAAGTACACTACCATTCAAAAGTTCGGGTGTGTAAGATGTTTTGGTATCACTTTATTTCAGTAAGTACTTGGTAATAATTATTAACTATATGTACTACTTACTACAGGGTTAGGGTAGGCTTTGGTTTAGGGTTATTTACTTGTAATTATGCATAATATATATACATATATATATAATTTTATATTATTATAATCATAAGTATGTGTTACTGTCACTGGGAAAAAAAAAGATTTTTGGGAAAGAAGCCTCTTATGCACATCAATGCTGCATTTATTTCAAATTTCAACATAGATTAATATTATGAAATAACAATTTAGGATAACTTTTCCATTGTATATAAATTAAAAAGCTGAATTTTTGCATGATTACTCCAGTCTTCAGTGTCACATGATCTTTCAGAAATCATTTGAAGATGCTGATTTTTTTTTTCAAGAAACATTTCTAATTATCGATTGTGAAAAAATGTGCTGCTTATTTTTCTTTTTTTAATAAACCAGGACTTTAGTAAATAGAATGTTCAAAAGAACAGCATTTATTTAAAAAAATGGAAATCTTTTGTAACATGTTAATAGAAATATACATTTCTTTATAAAAACTCGAATTGACCTCAAACTTTTGAACAGTAACAAAATGAGAAATTATATAACATTATAAACACTTATAAAGTGGGACGATCAGCACTATTAAAAACGAGCTGTACTTTTGACTGTTTACAAACATTTGATGCCTATGAACAATTCAGATACGGTGTTTCATTTGAGGACACCTAGCGAATGCCCTCTACGTAGTTGGCAGGCAGCATCCCTGATCTCCCCGTCCGCTGTACCGTTCCATACATCCACCCTTCGTCGATCGGCTGCACGTTCTGAATGATGTCACCATCCCGGAACGACACCTCATCGTAATCCTGCGCAGTGTAGTCATACAGGGCCCTGTACACAGTCTGGTGACCCATGTTTGAGTGCATCAATAGTAAGTATTTTACACTACTGAATACATTTTTAATCAAGATGCTATATAACATGCCGGAAAAATGAGGACTCACCATACTCCTGTGTTGTGACCTCAGCTGCATTGACCTCAGCGAATGCATACTGGTCTGATGCATGTAGCTGTGGCCACTGGAATAGTAGGCACCAGGAAGAACAGGTGCTAAAACACAATCACCAGGATGATCTTAATATTCAATGGTACAATTGCATTTACATTTATTCATTTAGCTGATACTTTTATCCAAAACTAGGGGTTAAGTGTTTTGCTCAGGGACATACTGGTGTCTCGCAGTAGATTCGAACCCGGGTCTCTCACACCAAAGACACGTGTCTTATCCACTGCGCCATCACCACCGCCAATGTTAATGTTTATATTTAGGAGCTAGTATACTGGTTTTGTTGTTCTTTTCCCCTTTTTTAGGTTGTGCTGCCAAGAGTGAGCATCTCGCATTAGGGAACTTACCCACAATGACACCAGGTCTTCGATCCATCTCCATGATGCACTGATGGACACCCTTGTGTGAGCTGTTTCCCACCGTCTCATGGTTAGGCGCCATCTGAGGCCGTACCAGGTACGTTCCACGCATTCCCTGAGTGACCCCGTGCAAACCTGACACCTCAAAATCCTTATGATACTTTGCCTGCAGAAATAGAGATATCACCTGTTTCATGCACATACAATGTTTTTGGGTCAGTAAGATTAATAATTTTATTCAGCAAGGATGGATTGAATTGATTAAAAGTGACAGACTTTTATTAATTACAAAAACTTTTTTATGAATGTTCTGTTCATCAGAGGATTCTAAAAAAAAGTACTATCATAATTTCCACAAAAATATCAAGCAGCACAACTGTTAGAATAATCAGCATATTAGAATAAGTTCTGATGGATCATGCGACACTGAAGACTGAAACATATTACTATAGAAAATAGTTGTTTAAATGGTAATTATATTTCACAATATTACTAAATGTGGCTTTGTTGAGCATAACTTCTTTCCAAAGCATCACAAATGTTGAACTTGCATTTCTAGTACACTAATTGATCAAGTGTACAATATCTGAGTTTTTCATTCAGCTACATTTTCCTGCATACATTACTGATCTGATCCTGGGCCTTCCTCAGTCTCTGCAGCTCTGGAGTATCCAAGGCGAACTTGAACCCCTGACCCTTGCTCTGTTCAAAATCCTTCCTGTACTTGACCTGAAGAACAAGAAAAACATTTTACCAGGGAACTTGTAAGGGTGATTTTAAGTGCATTATGCGGTTTGAAAGATTATGTGTATTTTCAGTTAACATGGTGTCTTTAAAGGTGTGAACCAAATGGCCTATAGAAACTGATGGGTGTGAATGCCAAAGGAACAACATTGCTCAGAGTTGATCAATCTCATGTGGGAGGTCCTAGCAGTTTTCTATTGTATGTAGCCATTTTGTCTTGAACTTTGGGTTAAGATTATTTGAAGGCTGACATGCTAACATTCTGCTGAGGAACCGTGCTACACCACAAGAACTCTGGTCAAGCTTCATTGGCGAGCCACCCTAACGACAGCTCGGCCAAATACAGCTAAATCTAACATGTTGAAATCTGGATGGTTGCTTTTTTTTCAGATCCCTAACACAAAGTATGAGCAATAGATAAAATACACAAAATGTATTTTCACAGGTGTTGACCAATACTTCAGAAAAATGAATCCTGTCATAATGCCAGGATTAGGTCGGCCACAGTATGGACTTGGCAGCATCTTTTGTGCCGCCAGGTGGAGAAGCTGAGGGGATCGGCCTGTGCACCACGGAGTAGACAGCTGCCATGCTTTTCTCCATGCTGACCTCAAAGTATCACACCCAGTCACTGGCAGCCAAAACACACACACGGGCGTAAACAATTTTGTCTCATGTTATCCCTTTGAAAAGTCTCTACCAATAGCAACAAATAACATTATCCAACCCTAGATATCCTCCCTTTAGATTTAGAGCAGTTTTCTCACATTTATTTTTTTATCATGTGTAAAAATGTGATTACAATGTACAACACCTCACATAGTGAACAAGTGTTATTACCTGACTTTGTAGCTCGCTTTGCTGTCTCAGCCGTAGGTTCTCAGGGGTGTCTGTCACAATTGTAAAGGTCTGTTTTGGGTAGTGCCTTTTTGGAGAAAGGAGGCGAGTCATTTTGCGCTTTTGGACTATCATATTCATATTCTAATATCTCGTATCAAAAGAACAATTTTAATATGACTTCAAATTACCTAAGAATGTATAAAAGTGTATATAAACTATAGTATTTTTGACAAAAACATACGCGTTGCAGTAGGGCTTCTTCTCATATCCCTTATAGTTGTTCATGTTGAGAGTCATTTTACACACTTCACAATGGAAGCATCCTTTGTGCCAATACTGTAAAATGTGGGAAGACGGAAACAAAGCTTTTGGTAGATAATTATGAAATAATGTACACATTTTCCCTTAAAAGCATCGAAAGTAAGAGTATAACGTTACCTTGTCCAGGCAGTTCACTTTCTCAGTCGCGTAGACAATTTTCCCACAGCGCGCGCAATGAGGGTTCATTTTCAAACTGTTGCGATGATCCGGGAAAATATCATCACTTCTATGATCCACTAAAATTATTGTAAAATATCTCAGATGTATCAGATTTGCTGCTGCATGCGGTGAGTGTTTATCTGCGTGTCGCTGGACTCGCAGTGAGGGAACAGGAGCAAAAGCGTGAGATTTCACCAAACATCACCCACTGAGACTGACTGTTGGAGGAGCTCTAAAACACTGACCGCAGGGAATAGACTGTTCTGTTGGTGCACAATGAGCCAAAATAAAGTGCACAACTTGTCTAAATAAAGAGCTTGTTAACGTGACATGACAATGCAAATGGAATGACAATTCAAATAATTTGTATTTTGTTAAAGTCATGATAAAATGTTTTACGAGATCGTGTCTTAATCAGTTTCTCTCTTCACTCATCAAACCCTTCCTAAAGAGACATGATTAACATCACGTCGATCTTGGTGATAGACTGTTGTTGAGTAGCGGTCTGAAGCCGTAGAGAGTAATGGCATTATAATGCCCAAAGAGGGCAGTAGAACACCGACAGAATGCACGCTCCTTTGGGAGAATAATATGTTAGGAGTAGGATTAAGTGATTAAATCAGGTGCATCAGGTAATACTTGTCTTGCAAGTAGATATTAAAGGCAGACCATGTCATATTCCTTGTATTATTACAATCGCATTTCCAACTTGTGCTCAGTTTTTTAATGTTGCGTGCGTCGTTTTTAATAGGCTAGCAAAACTGTATCACAGTTTTAATTTACTAAAAGAAATCTATCCGCCATCAGGTTAGTTCTTAATACGATTAGCGAGATAAAGTTGGGGCCTATTAGCCTATTAGGCTGATAAATAATGTGATCTTAATATACCCCCATGAGGCCATCCGCTCTATGAAAAATAAAACGTATTATGCTCCTGAGATCTTCATCTCATGAGAGTAGGCTGCTACATATTTCTTAAAAGTGGTATTTACATAAAATGTAGGTCTATAAGAAAAATAATTAACCCGCTTTGAAGGCTAAATGTTGTCTTCCTATAATTTTTGTGAAAGTCCTGTAGCTGTATCTGCATAAAATAGGATATCCCAGCTATTTCATGCGTATTAGAATGTTTAGGTACATTTACATTGTAATCCTACAATTTGATTATACGCTGTTTACGCCGCAGTGATGTATGGATTTAATTTTGTATGTATGGTTTTACGTCCTCGGCGACTTCTCTTATATGTGGACTCGGTTTTGCACAATATTTAACCTGGCTAATGATTAAACAGTCTATTTTTTATTATTATTTTGAAGTCCAAGCGTTAATTGCTTACTGGCCAACACGCAAATTCGAGATGGACTATTTGGATCTCATCATGTTGTGGCTGTCTCTACCCAAGAGTGCCGCCAGGCCAATAGCGTTCCGTGAAACACAAGATTTATGTGTCAACTCAGCTCAGCTGAGCTAAAGCAGAACTGTCAGACTGACCCAACTGCTGCTTATATACAGGCGCAGTGGATGTGGCTCCCGGTCTCGGTCGGAACTTCAACAGGACAGTGGTTGTTTTATTAGTATTTTGCCGGCTTTTTATTACTTACGTTCGCATTGAGAGATTTGTTTGGGATCGTACCACAATAACCATTGTTAACGGGTTTTCGCCATGATTTAAACTGAGGCGACACACCTTTTTAAAGAGGTATCTGCGTTCTGAATCAGTATCCGTACTTTCTATTAGTATTTCATGTTACGCCTCATGATGGACACGGATGTCATTCATTTGAGCTTCTGGGGTGCTTTACCTGGCGAGCTTAAGATTTAGCTTGCAAAGCGGTGTGTGTGAATGAGCTTGTAGCGCACACATCCTGCCAACAGTAACCTTCAAGCTAACGTCAATGACAGCTAGCATTTAGCTGGTGGGAGTTGGAGGATAGCGGGATTTCTGAGAGAGAGTTTTCATCGTTCGTCATTTGCGCGTTTGCAGAGGGATGCATGAACGCGATGCATTAAATAACGAAAGGGACAATTTGCATGTCGAGATCCGGTGGAGCGCCGCTGATTCTGAACAGCTTGTGTCAAGACATCGCCACAGTGCCACGCACCGAGAGGGATTTCATTCATCCGAGCCTACTCGCTAAACATGGCCTCTGCAGCCTGCAACCTTGCTGCAACCATCGCCAGCAAAACCAAGAAGAAACATTTCGTGTCTCAGAAGGTGAAGCTGTTTCGGGCCAGCGACCCGCTGCTCAGCGTCTTGATGTGGGGAGTGAACCACTCGGTAACGGTTACGTTTTCTTACAGATTTATAACTGCTGCGATGTTGCGTCTGAGTGGTTTGAAGGCACGTGTGGCAGTTTTCTTGATCCATGGATAACTGTGGCATGTCTACCAATCTAAATATTAGAGCTATTTGTTGCGAGCTTCGTGAATCAATGAGATGGTGCTCGATGCAGAGCCAAATGGGAGGAGCTAGAGCTCAAGCTCCCCCTTTTCTGGAGCTCCAGCTCCACCTCGCTAAATTTAGTGGGCGGGGCTTCGCTGCAGCTTCCAATGGGAAGAGCTAGAGCTCTAGCTCACCCTCGCTGGAACTAGTGGACAGAACATAACGCGCTATCAAGCCTGTTAATGTTAGTGCGAGTTCCACCCGTGATGAAAGGACAAGTTTGTTTTGATGCGCAAGGTGCTGGCAAACATAATATTATATTTTACTCTAAGATTTTTCATGATTATGATAAATTATACAATGATTTATCGTTTCTGTGACAAACGCGTAAACACTTAGAACATTGCTCACACTATCTGTGCGTGTTTCTAAAAACTGTTGAAAACTTTGTATCTATGTATTCTTTTCTCTTAATTACGATGAACAGTTTCGTTGTTTTCCTCACTTTTAAAGCCGCTTTGGACAAAAGCGTCTGCTATATGATTATGTAAATTACTAGACAAAGGCAATGTGTGCACGTTTATTTTGTCCACCGCAGTAACGCGAGTTATTTGTTGTAAATTAATCTAACAAAAAGATTGTGTAAATAAATCATCTGATTAATTCATTAAATAAAAAATAAGACCAGGTTACCTAATCTGCCCTTTTTGTACGTTAATGTAAAAGCATAAGCTACTCCAATAGGCCAGTTGTATTTTTTATATATATATTGTAAATTAAAGTGTACAATTGACTGTATTGGATAGACTCAACCTTCATGTTATAGGCTATGCATTAACCCGTTTAATCCCAAATTTTTTCTTGCAACTTGAGTACATGCATTTTACTCCTTAGACCTCCCTAACACTCAAACAATATGCCTTTTTTGATTTTATGTTGGTTAAGTTAGTGAAATATTAGGTTTTATACTTATATAGTGGGAAACTATAGTCAGAATTCATTCAAATTCTTCAATTTGACCTATTGACACAATTCATTACAAGACATCCAATATCTCGTTTTGTCATTTCGTGAAGAAGGCTTAGTGAGGTGAAAAGGTTGTCATGAACAAAGTTACACCCTGGAGGAACTTCTGCTTGTTCGGCTAGACCCCTATGGGCTAGACCATGTCTACACTTGGGCCCTGTCCTAGGCCAGTTTCAGGTAGATGTGTGTGCACTCTTTCAGTGCACTGAAGATGGGCCGAATGTTGTAGAAAGGGTTGTTTGTGGTCATGTGTGAGGCACACCATTTGGTTCTCATGAACATCTGCACAATCCTCCAGATCACATCTGCATCGCCATTCAATAGTCTACCTGGCAAATGGGCCGTTCCACCCTGGGACTCCCTATCTGAGTTATCACTATTACAGTCACTTTCAATTTGGGGTGGGGGTAGGGGTGGGGGAAGGGGGTCATGCACGTCCAGAAGGTCCAACACATTGAACGTTTCTGGGATACTGATAACTGCGCTAAACAAAATTATAAATGCAACACTTTTGTTTTTGCCCCCATTTTTCATGAGCTGAACTCAAAGATCTAGACCATTTCTATGTACACAAAAGGCCTATTTCTATCAAATATTGTTCACAAAGCTGTCTAAATCTGTGTTAGTGAGCACTTCTCCTTCGCCGGGGTCATCCATCCTCATCACAGATGTGGCATATTCAGTGTAGGATTGCCAATACCCGCCAATATCTGCCTATACTGTACCTGTGTTTTCAATTGAAGCACTGCTATACTGTTATACTACCGGTCACAATTGTGACCGTAAACAAATTTACAAGTCTTACGAGCAAAATATAAATGCAGGAGTATAATTCTCAAAATATATCAGTAGTAGGCCTAGACCCTTTAAAGAACATATGTACAAAATTTGATAGTTCTATCTGTAAATTAAGATGTTTTATATACTACTTATTTTAGTAGTCTGAGGAAGAAATCTTCTTCTAGATGTGCAAGCAGGAAGTGACCTGATCTGGTCATGTGACCTTTCACACTAGTCACATGACATTAATTGATTTTAATCAAGACAGTCTATTTTGTCATTTAAAAGTTGAATTTCTTGCCCAAAGTCAATAACAACATTTTTAGAGCTTCCAGAAATAAGAAAAAAGCTGCGGTCACAATTGTGACCGGTGGGATTAAACGGGTTAAGCTATTTTAATGAAATGGAAACAAGCAGTCCAGTACTCTAAAACCAGCTGTGTGACTTCCCACACTAGTCTAGAGGAAAAACAAGATAACAAATGTGCTGAGATTATGCATCCGCTTCACATTTTAATGGTAGCCTATAATAAGAAGTACATTGAAGTACACACTTCATATAACACATAACATTTCTCTTCACAGAACTCAACCAATTTTTTTTTAGTACTCCCACTGGTAGATAAGATTCAAGTTCAAGTTGATTTTATTTATACAGCACATTTTATAACTGCCACTGGCTAAGTGCTTTAAAGAACTACAAAAATAAAAAAAATTAAGAGAGCTAGCCCATACTGCAATTCTTCCTTCTATTTCTTATCCCGACATACGTTCAGATTGTCAGCCCAGAAAAGCACATGAAATCCGTTTCAAGGCAAGCTACATCCATATGTGGTTTAAAATCCTATTCAAATACCGGGACATATGTCTCAGTCTGAACGATCGGATTTCGGGTGGTGTGTGACTCTCACGCACCACCCGATTTTTTTTTTATTTGTGTTCAATAAAAATCAAGCTGGCGCTGAAATATGTTGCTTTTGAAATCATGCCGAGTGCTCGGAAGTTAACCTGCGCGTGCGCGGTGAAGCTGGAGCTCCAGCGAGGGGAGGAACTGGAGCTCCAGCGAGGGGAGGAGCTAGAGCTCCAGCTCCTCCCATTTGGCTCTGCATCGAGGACCACTTGGAATCAATGCGTTCTAACTTGAGACATGCCACTCAACTTTAGATTTAAACATATATAACCTACAGTTACTGCAGTTACGCATTAAAATGAATCAGATGATTAATGTTCTAAATGCATAGGCTACCATTTAGTCTAATTTGATTTGATCAAAAATGATGAGATTAACACTCACTAAAACCTAAAACCACCTGTCATCAGACATAAACAAATAATTTACATGATTCTAAGAACATAAAAAAAACTGAAATGGCCTATATTATGCATAAGTGGTGCTGTTTAATATATATATATATATATTCAATAATTCTCAAAATTAGAATAAAATTCTTATACCCAATCCCAATAACATTCTTAAAGGCTATCTCTTTTAAAAAAATCTGTCAAATTCAACATTAATTTGAAGTCAACTCTCATTTGAAGTAGATCCTGGTGGTAAAACCATCTAAACACATGCAATGGCTGAAATGTGTGCGATATTCAGAATGTGATTATTTCATGAACACATGCATGATGGTGAAAATTCAACAGATGGTGCTGAAAATCAGTTTGAAAGCATCCTGTGGTGTCAAGTCATTAATTCTATGACACGAACGCTAGATTTGTAAATATTTGTATTACATTTGACACATTCTTTTTGTTTCTGATGGTGTTCATCCATATTAATTAATGGGACAAGAAACAATATGTAAGATGCAGGATATTACAACCAACCATAGGGTAGGTGATTTACTGAGGAGATTAAACTAAAAATATTTGGTTGAAAAATGAATGTTATTTTTCAGTTTCAGTTTGGTCCGTTTTGTCCCAGTACTCAAGAATCAATGAAATGATTGTGTCAGTGAGCAAAGCAAGTGTTTTCTCAGATGAGAGCTTTGGCACAGAGTTGAGTGGTGGTTGAGGACGCTGAATGACTAACTATACAGGCTGCAGACAGCATTAGATCCCTGATCCCTTGTCAGCGTCTGCACGAAAATCAAAACTACAAGAATTCACTTGTTCTCAGAGATCTGGTAACATGGATTTCTAAATTCTATACATTTTTGTTCCCTTTCTATTCTCTTATTTCTCAATATCTAAAAAATGTTGTTTTTTTATTTATATTTTGCTATTTGAATCTTGATTAACACCAACTGTAGGACTAAATATGTGTGTTTTAAAAACATGATATATTTAAAGAATACTTTTCCTTTGGGAATGGAAGATTTCCAGGTATCTGACGAAGCTTTAATTGATCTCCTGGGAATCTGGTCACCTGTGTCTGGGAGCCTTATGCTCATGTCATGATGCACATGCATGCGATGCATGAAGTATAATTATTCATTTAAACATAGATTGACAACACATTAAATACTGATTGTTTTTATGCAGTCTATAACACTCTCAAATACATCATTCAAATACAAATGCATTATTTCAACACCACAGAATTATATGGCTGTTGAAAATGCTGTTTATAATAACTCTTATATACATGAATTGCCTGTTATACTTTGGGTAGACCATGTAACTCATCACTAATCAAGACCTTTATGAAGGAATCATGTACCTTAGATCTATTAGGCTGATGAATTATTCTTATCTTTAAACTAACTTGCAACATCCAGAGTGTTTAAGGTCAAACAGTTTCCAGGCTTTATTTTTTTATTTTATGCCTAACACTTATATAGTATTATTATAGTCAGGTATGGTCAGGTATAATAATATAATATAGTATTATAGTATTATAATATAGTATTATTATAGTCAGGTATACAAGCACACCACTTATGGTAAAAGTGTTACATTGGCCATCAACAAATATTATATCATCCATTTTTTTTTTTTTTTTAAATATACTTACAAATGTCACCCAAATATACTTACAAATGTCAGAGTATCCTAAGTGGATGTAGTAAAACACAAGCCAGTTTCCCCCTTCAGCATCCCAGTTTTGGAATTGAGAGGTTGAATGGCATTTTCATGTATTTTCTCATCAGCCTTAGTGAAGCTGTAAAAAATGAATAGCCTATGTGCAGTTTAATTGATTTAAAAATCACTTCCATTTAGGCATGTGACGGTATCACATATTTACGTTGTAAGCGGTAGACCAATCACAACAAACTTGGTCGTCTGACCAATCAGACCATATTAAGCTCGCTGAAACCTCAGCTTAGAGAGATGATCTTTGAACAAATTGTTTTCAGTCTCTTTGAGTAACCTTTAAATAGCATAATTGGGGCACTTTAAAGATGCTACCACAAAGCACATTTTTTCAGGTTACCTTATCTTTTTTTAAAAATTGTAAGTAATATGGAATGTCTAAAACACGTTTTCTTTCAGTCATTCCCTCTCAGTCATTGGGTGTTTGTGTAGAAAAGCATCATTAACCCCCAAAATGAATCAGTGTTGCCTGCAGGTTGATGCTCCCAAACATCATTAGCACATTCTTCACGTTCATCCTTTATGGGGGCTAAATGACCATGAGATCTTTTGACCTCAAAAATGTAGTGTTCAGGAATATCGCCTGTAGGTTTAGCCTATTTTTATCATTTAGGCCAATAGAGCCCCTCCCATAACCACATATATGCCACACCGTCCTGCGTATGCTTGATGCTCTTCTATGTCTTTCATAGTTCTTTAAGATTCATCTCTGCGCTCTCATCTAATCCTGACTCCTCCTCCCCTCTTCTCTCCTTTTAGATGTTTCATCCTCTCAATCACTGTCTATGAGTTTTTTTTATGTTGATTACGTAAGAGTCTCAGAGGTATAACTTAAGTCTGAGGTGAAGGAGAAAAAGGCCTCTTCCATTGTGGTAGGAACTTCTCTAATGGCCAGAATGAGAAATTGCCTTATCTAGAGCCCCCCCGTCTTTCCCCATACACGCTCAGCCAGCCTATTTTCTCAGCACATAAGGAACGACACTGTCTGTTGCCATTGATGTGAATTTGTAGTAGCGCTGTGTTATGTAAAGCGGGTGATAAGCCATATGTGCTGACAGATATTAGTCTGCTTAGAAAACAGGCTTTAGTAATGGAATTATTTGAAGTGAAATGCAATCAAAAGAAATAATGCTTGCAAAGAAGTAATTGCTTGTAATTTTCTCGCCACACATGTTCCAGAGTGGCTTTCAGAAAACACACAACACTCTGCCAGGAACGCCTCTGGTTTCGTGGTCGCTTGCTTAATCTCAATGGCTTTATCCAAATGAAATTGTATGCTGTTTATGTAACCGAGTGTAAAAGGGTGCGGGCGGGGGTGAAGAGCCACTATGACACATACAGTCTATATGTGGATGTAATTACATCTACAAACTATATATCAGAGATTAAACATGACTGTCTTTACACTGTAAAAATTAATCTAATCAAAAATGGATTGCAATGGATTACAAGTAATATTATGAATTAAATTTAACAAATTAGAATTGATAATAATTAATCGTATTAATTCATTAAAAGTAAACCATTTAAAATGAGTACGTAAAACTTACAACAACAAAAAAACAAAAAAAAAAACAAATTGAAGTCACCATTATGGTGCTCGTTGTTTATTTTAGGTTTGTTTAAAAATTACAGTTTTCTCCTTCAGTGATTCTGCTTGTTAAAATCAGGTGTCTTCAATGTTGGCAATATAAAATAAAGAGTTCTTCTTAATTAATCTTTGACGTCTGTCTGTTATTTTTGTTAATTTTTTGGGGTAAATTTTACTCATTTTAAATGGTTAACTTTTAATTATTACTCAATTATAATTTGTTAAATTTAATTAATAATATTGTTTGTAATCTGTTGCCACAATTCTATTGATTAGATAAAGCATATTCATTGTTACAGTGTACTTGATTGTCATTGTACCATTTATTTACATCACACTGCAGTTAATATTATCGAATTTAATTTTGCGATTTTCATCAAGATCATAATAATCATGCATATACTATGGGCTGAATCACATGGCACAAGCTCTGTAAATGAGCGGATGGGGTGTGTGTGTTTGTGTCACAGATAAGGCTGATTGACCGTGGCTTGTCCTTCCCCGTTTTCAGCTGCTGCTGTTTCAGTGAACCTGCTGCCCTCTCCTCCAGTCTTGCAGTTGATTTCTCTAGTCCTTTTTTTTATCTCTTTGTAGACTGCTGTTCAGCTTTGCAAATCCATTGTGACATTATTATGCAGCATTAGACAGTGAAAGATGGTGGTTTGTATTCTAAGGCTTCCAATTTCGCTTGTTGCCAGTACCCGACGAATTTAAATCAGAAACGGACGAATTTAATTGTTCAGATTTTCGACATCCTGTTTTTCATTGTTTTAAATCACAAAGCATAGCCTTTTCTATTGAAATGCTTTTTAATAGACAGGAGGATGCCCCCTGATGCAGCAGGAACAGATGGAGGCACAGGAAGATGCGCAAAAATAACTCTCTGTCTGCATACACACAACACGTCATAGTGTAAAGGGAGTGTCCAAAAATCAGGTTGGATTCCACCTTGTACAAATGCACATGAACTCAAAAAAATGGTATGTTGGCTTTAATTAACTTTTTTATGTTAACAGAATCCATAAATTAACTGTATGTCAACAGGTTCCACACAACTGGGTTACGTTAAACAAACATAATTTGTTCTTGTAACTTCAACATCAAGAAATAATTCATTTTTAAGCGACCCAATTAAGTTCTGAGCAGAGTGTTAAATGAACTAAAGTTGATTGAGAGCCCAACTAAAACACACTTTGATCACCATAATGGTGACTTGCAAATTCCATCAGGTGTCTTCAAAAATGATCAATCATCCCGCAATTATTAATTTCATTATCTCATTAACTTTAAAACGCTTAAAACTACTTAATTCCATTATGTTGAAGTTACATACATGAACAAATTATGTTGGTAACACTTTACAATAAGGTTCATGAGTTAACATTAGTAAATGCATTAACTAACATGAACTAACGATGAGCAATGCATTAGTTACAGTGTTTATTAATCTTTGTTGATGTTAATTAATACAAATGCAGCTGTTCATTGTGCGTTCGTGTTAGTTCACAGTCCATTAACTAATGTTAACTTATTAGTAAATGTTGGAATCAATATTGACTAAGATTAATAAATGCTGAAGAAGTATTGTTTACATATTGTACATGTCAACTAATGTAGTTAACTAATTTTAACTAATGAACCTTATTGTAAAGTGTCACCATTATGTTTGTTTGACGGAACCCAGTTATGTGGAACCTGTTGACATAAAGTTATTTAAAGCCAACATATCATTTTTTGAGTGTGTGCACCCAGAAATAGGGTTATCTTTAGATAAGTATGCAGCTTTCTGAGTTCATGCCACAATCAATCAATTGACTTGAGTTTGTGTTGTCGTGCATGTGCTATTGCCCATGAAAGGCCACTTGACGTTTATTAAATTATTTTTGGCGATAAAAAAGGAAGTGGACAGTCCTGCCAAGTAAGTAATGCTTAGACTGTTGGCGCAGACAGCTCTGTTTTTCGCTGCTGCTGTTGGTGAAAGGAAGTTGTTTCTTGGCAGCGTTCCATCAGTGCACCACATTTGAGGAATGGCCCCTGTACTGCAGATAGTTCTCGGTAAATAAGAAAACGGTCTGATGTATTCATTTGGAGCAGGTCCAGAAGTCTGCAGCACCTATTTTGATATGCATCACTGATGAAATATTATTTTGTCATTTAGAATGATCGAATAATTTTTCTGTTTTGTTGTTTTTTTAAAGATAAATGAACTCAGTCACATTCAAATTCCTGTTATGCTGATGCCTGATGACTTCAAAGCCAACTCGAAAATCAAGGTGGACAACCACCTCTTCAACAAGTAAGAAAGACTGACTCGAGACTATATTGCTGAACTTAATGGGATTATTTTGTTATTTATTTGTTTGATTTTGTTAGTTATTTGCTTTTGCACATTTTTCTTCTTCCAAAGAGAGAACATGCCAAGCCATTTCAAGTTTAAGGAGTACTGTCCACTAGTCTTCCGCAATCTAAGGGAGCGGTTCTCCATTGATGATCAGGAATATCAGGTAAGAGCTTAAAGGGATACTTCACCTCTGGAAAGATGAATGTGTATTTAAAATGAGTGATTTATGTTAACGAAATGTGAAATTGTTTTTGAATTTAAGCTTTCTAGACACACTACTCAATAGGGGATGCTCATATTGACTGTTTAACCGTTAACCGAAAGTACACATTTTGACCAATTTATGACCAATTAAGACCGATTAAAAGGTTTAACGGTTACAAAATTTTTTTGTATTTTAATTTTTTTTGTAGTTTGCTGGTTTGATGGTTAATAAAAATATTATAAAAAAAACTCATTGGGCCCGTCGACACGAGCAACCACACGTGCCTACAGAAATATTTCGCTGAGCAAGCAAAATGAAGCGAGCGAGCGAAAATAAGTAGCGACTGGCCATTCTAGCGAGACGTTATCTCTGTATTCCTTGGACATCTGTGCCATCGGAGAGGGTGTTTTCTGTCGCAGGTCTAACTCAACAGGCTGCGCTCCAGACTAACCCCACATCATGTAGATGTTACTTTTTTAAATAAAAACTAGACAATGGGTGGATTGAGGTAGGCCTGCTATTTTTAGTCTGGAGGGAAAAAAAATGCCTTTTTTCAAAACTTCAAACAGATTCAGTGATTTCTTTTTGTCATCTTAATTTAATTATTTAAGTAAAAAAAAAAAAAAAAAAAAGTGTAGACCAATTTTATGTTTTTTATTTATATTATTTTATTCTGTTTTTCTCTGTTGTCACTTTCAAGTGCGTGATAATTTGATGTGAATCCAGGTTCTGTTGTACCGTATCTGTTTAAATAAACCCGTGAACATTTTTTTTGGTATTTTTGTCACAGACACTCGTCTATTTTATTTATATTTAATTCAGTTGGCTATTATAATCTTATCAGTTAACGGTTAATACTCAAATAAGGAGAAATTTAACCGAAATGAGCATCCCTACTACTCAGGCAACTCACATTTTTTGCATATTCCTTGGGCTGGAAATATTTAAATGAGGAATATTGTGATGTACATTCCTGGAAGAAAACTCAAGATGTTTTAAGGCATTGTATATTTGAAGGCATTTTATGGAGTTCTGAAAACGTGCCAAAAATACATTTTCTGGCTTTTCTCAGTATAGAAAGCTCCAAATTCCAAAAATTCACATGTCTTCTACATAAATTACCCATTTTAAATACACATTCATTTTTCCAGAGGTGGAATGACCCTTTAATGTCAAATAAGGCTGAGAATCTTAACAGTATTTTTGGTGCAAATTCATTGGCACTTTATAGAAGCAGCCAAATTTGGTTGATGCCATCACAAACAGGTTGTGACATGGCCTCACCCTCCAAAATCATGAACAGAATTATGCCACGGGGGGGGGGAAAAGGCCAGACTACTTTAAATAAAGGTTCATGGGCAAATGTTTTTACATTTACAAAATTCAGTTTTCCTTCTCAGTAAATGTCTTGCAAATCATTTTGCAATTGGCCTATGTTGTTTTATTGTAATGTTAATTATGTCAGCTTATTTTTCAAAGAGGATTTTACTGCTCAAGTTGTTGATTATAATAAAAAAAAATATAAAAAATTATTGATTCTTGGTATCCAAATCTTGGTCCTAAAGCAAAACTAGTTGGGAACTGCTGATCTACGAAATCAGTTTCACTAAGACATTCTGAACAGCTTTGACCATCATGAAAACAAATCCCACTCAGTACAATGATAACACACAGTGTGGCTGTTGCAGTAAACCGCAGAGACCTTGCATTTTTGGCAGCTCTACTGAAGATGACATCTCAAAGCGCAGGCAGTAACTCAGCTGTGCTTTTGCTGGTTGAATTTTAATGGAAACCTATTGACTCCTATCTTTCTGCAAGGGGCACTAACTGCAAAGTGTTCTTTATCTTTAAGAGAGCAAAGATGTTTTGCAATCCAAATGACCAAATCTGCCAAAATGTTTCAGTTTGTGATGAGGTTCAATAAAAGAAGTGACCAGACTGTACAGTCTGGCATTCCAGTCTGACTGCAGATTGCAGTCTAGGAGAAGTGCCAGTAGCTTTTCACCGTTTTATGGAAGCTGTTTAGTGTAAAATCCTTCTCTGTTCTTTTCTCCTGTGGCAGAACTCCCTGACACGCAGGGCCCCGATTCCCAGTGACGCTCAGGGCCGCAGTGGAGCTCGTTTCCACACTTCATACAACAAGAGGTACGTCATCAAGATCATCACAAGCGAGGACGTTGCCGAGATGCACAACATTCTGAAGAAGTACCACCAGGTAGAGGGAAAATCTGTTTCTTTGAACAAAGTATCACAAGCTGTGAAGTGTAAAGTGAATCTTTTCTTTTTTTTTTTTTCTTTTGTATTTGCCCACTGTAGTATATAGTCGAGTGCCATGGAAACACGCTGCTCCCTCAGTTTCTGGGCATGTATCGCCTCACAGTGGATGGAGATGAGACCTACATGATCGTCACTCGCAATGTTTTCAGCCACCGGCTGCCTGTTTACAAAAAATATGACCTGAAGGTGAGTGGTTCTTGTTTAAAGAGCCTGTCTAATCTTCAATATAATGAAAGTGAATGGGTCAGGGTCACAAAATTGTGTGTAGCAAGCATTTTGATTGCCAATGCGGTAACACTTTACTTGAAGGGGTGTGCATAAGACTAACATGACACCTTCATAATCATGACATGACATATGTTATGAATATGAAGGAAGTTTTATGCATGTTTGTGACAACTGTCATTAAGTGTCATTCGCTCAGTCATGACATTTTTAATGCAAATATGACATTGTTTGAGATGTCTTTGTTATGACACCTTGACATAAACCATTACATCATAAGCGGTCAGTGTCTTTTTCATGACAACTTGACATTAGTAAGACAACACAACTTAGCAGATTAATTATCAAACTTAAGAAACCACCTAGCTTTATTGGTTAACATTATATTAAACTGTCATATGGTTGGTTTTGGCATTGCCTGTCACAAGACAAGTAGTGTTGTCTGATTCATGAACAAATGATTCTTTTGAATCAGATCTTTTTAATGAACTGTGTGTATAATAGCAGAAAAATAAGTACAGCAGAAAAATCACTTGTTCAATTTTTAGTTTTTTTTTTAGTTTTTTTTTTTTTTTTAGGAAATTACAATTTTTAATTTGGGGCAACTGTTTTAATAATAAAACTGTGCTTTTAATAATGACTTTATGTTCATTTTTAGGGATCCACTGTGGCAAGAGAGGCTAGCGACAAAGAAAAGGTAAACTCTCTCTCTTTCTCTTAAAAGAAAGCATATAAATTTTGAATAGGGGATACTACAAATATTTTCATTTCCAATGTATGATTACATGTTCAGAAAATGAGCTCATATTTGCATGTTGGATGTGTTGCATGTCTGAGTTTGGAAAATGTTTTTTTTTTAAATGTTTTAAACCTATTATAACATCATATTCCTTTCTATGTGTCTTGTGTGTTAATAAACTCCCAAAATAAAATTATCCTGTGTGAAAAGATCCTATTTTCTACATTCTCCATTCTTTGGGGAATAAACTTTTCCTTTTTAATTCAGTGTTTTTCATTTATTTGCTTCAGAGAATGGGAAACTGCACTTTTTGTAGTCCAGTGGTTTCAATTTATTTAGGTAATGGTCCTGAGAAGAATTCAAGTAATTACACTATTGGATTAATTTAAACACAAGGACCGTGGTGTCTCTTATATTGTGATACCCTGTAATTTAAGTGCACTGATCTCTGAAGGTAAAGAGTGAGATGGTAAGTAGAACTACTGTAAATAATAGATCAGACATTGACTACTTGTTTTCGGGGAACATTTGACTGTTGGATTACACACTATCACACTGAATTAAACTTCCTGTTTAAACTGCTCTACCGTTCAAAAGTTTGAGGTCAGGATTTTTATTTTCAGTAAGGGTGGAGTGAATTGATCAAATGTGACAGTAAAGACATTTATAATGTTCCAAAAGATTTCTATTTCAAATAAATGCTTCTCTTTTGCACTTTCTGTTAATCAGAGAATCCTAAAATATTTTTTTATTACAATTTCCACCTAGATAGTAAGGTGCCTGTTTGCTGTTTTCAACATAAATGTTACTTTTATATTATTCTAAGTAACATAATAATACATATAAATGTTTCTTGAGCATCAAATCAGCATATGTTAGAATTATTCTGATCATGTGACATTGAAGACTAGAGTAATGACAATTTTTATTTTAAATTGTAATATTTCATAATATTACAGTTTCAATGTATTTTTGACCACTTGATAAAACTTTTGAACAGTAGTGTGTATATATAAATACATTGTGTGCGTTAATAAAAGGCTAATACTCTTGCAGTCTACTCTTGTGTACAGTATTTGCTCACATAAGACAAACCTAGTCTTGTGTTTTTCTCATATATGTGTAAATATTAAGGGCATGTGAACGATTTGCATGCATATATAATTTTTTTTCTATATGCATGTTAATCTTGCTGGCATGATGAATTATTTATTTGATTCATTTCTCCTCCATTGAGATTTTATATTTACATTATATCGCTGTATATGATACTCTCGGGCAAATATGGACTGATGTATATTTGTAATTATGTGTCATATACTGATTTATTGTCATTCACAGTATTTGATGAAACGTGTCCTTTACTTCTCAATTGTGATTTCCTTAACATTCTCCCATGATATTTTGTATTCACTTGGCTACTGTACAACAGTCATGTTATCAATCAACTTTATATCACACATGTACTTTTGGTGTGTTTCTTTTTGATGCATGTATGTGGGATATGTCCATCTTTTTGATTCTTCCATTGTCTTCTAAAGGCTTTACACGTTTTTTATGAAATGTTACAAGTTACAAATGTAGAAAGTTCAGATCTGTCACCTCCACAGTGATTTTTGGGTGCTTGCGTCTTGCATCTGACCTCCCTTCTCCCTGCAGCCCCGCCCACCTGATGAGGCTCCATCCAAATCACGCATGAGCCAAAAGCTACAAACCATCCGGATTGCCACACGCTTTTACTGCGCCATAAGACACGTAAGGACACGACTGCAAAGAACTTTCCCATATTGCTCAGTGTTCTTCTTCAACATGCATCCCGCATTTTGCCTCAGGAAAGCACCGTTCCCTCTGGATCCCGCAAGGGACTGTAAACACAAGCCCATGGCTGGTGCTTTAGGTTTAACTTATCCTCCTGTTCCAGAGCAGTGACTCCATCTTCGACAATCTCTGCTGGAATTGCGATAAGAACTGGAATACTAGTGCGTCAGCATTTGAGTGTTCTGCTGAGCTATATGCGGTTTTATATATACCTTCATAATTATGGTCATCTGCATGTTCAGGTCTCAGGAATCCATAAAAATTTTCATCAAATGGTCATAAAGGGTGAAAACATGTATTCTAGATTTCTAAATACATCTGATAAATTAATTAAAGGGATAGTTCAGCTGAAAATGGAAATAATGTCATTATATACCTGTTTTTCCAAGGCTGAATGACTGTAAGACACACATTATTTGAAGAAGTGTTTTTTGGTTTAACCCTCTGATGGTCGTCATTTAGGAGTCACGTCCTGAGCCTTCCCGGTCAGAAGTGACTGGACACCTAAAAATGAAACTTTATCCATCCCAGTAAAAACCAATGCAATTTAGTTTTGTTCTATAATATTTATTCTTTTTAATTTTGTATTTTGAGACAATTTGATTGAATTTTTAAATATTTTTGCCAAATTTATGGTCTAATTTTTTCTATGGGGAAAAAAATAATAATGCATTATTTTAGTTTAGTTTAATATAGAGTCTAGGCCTTCAGAAAAAAAAAAATATTTTTTGAAGAAAATTAGCACCGTCTAGTTTCAGTATAGAGAAAAAGCGTAGAACCATGGTTTAACCACTAGATGGCGTGTACAGCTTGTGTATGGCATGTGAATTCCCCAGCTGTTTATGAACACATTAGATTTTTTTTTTTTTTTTTTTTTTTTTTGGTGGATTTGAATCAATCTCAAAAATGATTTCTTATTAGGTTTTAGATTTTATTTATTTTATTTTTTTTTAGAAATAGTGTTAAAAAAGTGTTAGGTTTTGCATTATAATTAGAGCCAAACATTGGGTTAGAAAGAGAAGCTTGTGTTGCTATAAGCAAATTTTATACCCATCTTTTTTTCAGAAATTGTATCAAAAATGCAATTCATTCAATTATAACACTTTATGTAGAATAATATTTTTAAAAAATTGTGAACAAAAACTTTGGTGAATTTTTGAGTTTTTGTCAATTTCCCATTCATTTCCTATGGGGGTCATTTTTGAACGAACCACATTTTCTTTTCACTCAATTTTTTTGTGTGTTCACATCCCTAATACGAGAGGATGACAGATTTCGTAACATTCCGATAAAGCTGTGATTTTTAAAAATTCAAAACAGATTTTTTTCTGTAATCTGAATTTATTGGTGTGTATGTGTGTGTGTGTGTGTGTGTGTGTGTGTGTGTGTGTGGGGGGGGGGTGGGGGGTGTGAATTTTTTGCATTTTTGATGTTGTAGAGTGTCACCCCTTTACTGCGGTGTACTTTCTTTTAGAATTGTGGGCGATTTGTAGATTGTACAGACAAAGATTTAGAGTATCTTATTCAGTCAGACTGCAGAAGTGACCGAGGACAATCAGAGGGTTAACCAATGAAAGAAAATTCAATGTTGTTCTGAACCCCACTTACTTTCATAATATCAATAGAATCAAACATTTTATTTTTATATCATCTTTTGTGTTCCACAAAACACTTACTTTCATAAGTCATTCAGATTTGGAACAACATGAGATAAAATATGACAGAATCTTCATTTTTTTGGGGGGGTGAACTATCCCTTAGAATCTTGATACTAACTGTAGACTTCAGATTTGGAATCGCGGATGTTTGTGAAAGTAGGCATTTAGGAAATAACCCTTGGTTTAACCATTGTAATTATTTAAATGCTGTAATTGTCTGTTGGCTCTAATAGTGACATCTAAATCACACCCTGTTGCTCTGAGCGCCCACAGGAGGCAGAAATCTGCTTTATATGTCACCCGACTGCATCTGGGATGTGCAATTTTTAAGCTCACTGAGTGAATTCACCTTTGTTGTGTGTGGGCAGATCAGAATTGCGCCAGGCCAAGTGCTGAACTTCTTAATTCACCCCCAAAAGACTTTATTTATTTTTAGATGGTGATTTTTGGTGTAATATTATATAATGACAGTACACTCTAAAAAAAAAAAGGTTCTTCAGAGGTTCTTTGTGGTGGTCATGGTGCTATTTAGCACCACCGGTTCTTCAGTGGTTCTCTGGTAGTTAACGTGCTCTGTGGCACCTCTGGTTCTACATAGCACCATATGACAAAGAAATACAGTAGCACTTAAAGTGGTTCCCCTATGATTACAAGCCAATGAACCACTTTTAGTGCTATTTAGCACCATTTTTTTAGAGTGTATGTAGTAAATGTGAAGAGTGTTAATTCCACAAGACTAGCAGCAAAAAAATAAAAAAATAAAAAATACTGCCTGTGTTTGGGCAAACACACAGTTTCACCCCACTGGTCGAGCTAATGTTGTTTTTTGTGTCCCAGTTGGACCGCTCAAACAGACAGATTGTATTTTCATTTGGAACTGCTAAGCACAGAAACTAGCACTTCCACATGTAAAAATATTGCTACAAGAATTATTATTTTTGTCATAAAGTTTTCATTTTTAAGTGTATTAACGTCAAAATATGTGCAGAAGAAAATCAGAATTTATGATATTGTATGGCAGTGACAGACACCATCTTTTTTTTAATTGCTTAGTAAACTAAAGGTGAAGTGTAAATTTACAGATTTTGCTACTTTAACTCTTTTTTTTTTTCTTTCCCCCAATGTGAATAACAGACCAAGGAGCTTCCAACTTACAAAGACAATGACTTCATCAATGACGGCCAGAAAATCTACATAGATGAGGAAAACAAGAAAATGTTCCTGGAGAAACTGAAGAATGACGTAGAGGTCTGTGTGCATTAAGTTTGTGTCCTCATCCATCATTTGCTTTGTTTCATGTAATTGGATCATTAAACTCTAATCTAAACACTCATTCGCCCTAATCACCCCCTCTGTCTCTTTAAACTGTGTCTAATTAAAAAGACAATGATTGTTTCGTGCTTAATCCTTTGAAAAATGTGTTTTCAGTTCCTGGCCCAGCTGAAGCTGATGGACTACAGTCTGCTGGTGGGGATCCATGATGTGGAGCGAGGGGAGCAGGAACAGCCCGAGGAGGAGAGTGAAGACAATGATGCTGGCGAGGAGGAGGGAACGGAGAGCGACGGAGGGGCCACTGGCTCCCCACCAGACAGCCCCAGTAACACACTAGACAGCAATAGACCTCTGGGCCCGGGAGAGTTTGACCCCGTCATTGACGTATATGCCATCAAGAGCCATGAAAGTGAGTAAACTAAATTAAAAGTAGGGTTGCTTGATGGTTTTGGCTATGATTTTCTAGTCTCTGAGAGCCATTTTAATGTACCTTTCGCCGTTTTATCTGGATGGAAACTGTGAGAACAATCACTTACAAAAGTAATACTACACCTTTCATAAATAAGCTTAATGATTTAAGATGTCATTTATGCCTGTAGCATGCATGAGTAATAATGGACAAGTAATGCACACAGTTTTAATATTTGGAGTTTTGAAAAAAAACATTATATATTGGGGGTAAAAAAATCCGTATTGTTACACTATTCCTCTGTAAATACTAATTTAGATGATAATGTGTTGTAATATTGCACATTCATGGATTCGTGGAATTATTTATTCATTAAATGTTACATTTTGAATGGTTCCTGCTGTATCAGCAGCCAATGAGCTCACTGCTTAACTTTCAAATACTTGGTCCGCTTTTGCTGTAGAAACGCTCCACCTGTGTAGATCTGCTATGGGTAATTCATGTACGCTATATTGTACAGCAGCTCTGCAGCGGCAGCAACATAGCAGATCTATTCCGCCAAGTTCAGACATTAACATTACCATATCCATTACCATGCCAAACAGTTGTCAGGAGTTGTCATGACAGAAATGGATGTACAGGCTTGGTGAATGTTAAATATGCAGTGGCAGCACAGCACTGGGCCAAAAGGCATGCAAGTGATAGTTCTGTCTCACTTTGTTCCAGTTCTTGCTTAAAACCAGTAGCTCATTCTTCCTCACAGATGCTCCTAAAAAAGAAATTTACTTCATGGCGGTGATTGACATTCTCACACCATATGATGCCAAGAAGAAAGCAGCCCATGCAGCTAAGACAGTCAAACATGGGGTAAGAGTTACAAACACAGTTCCCCCTTCTATGTAAAGCACTTTGAGTGGCGAGAATAGCACTATATAAAGGTAATGAATTATTGTTATAGTTCCAATATGTCATAAACAGTGCTAGTACTAAGTGACACTTTTTTGCTCCTCCTTTTTCCAGGCAGGGGCAGAGATCTCCACGGTCAACCCCGAGCAATATTCAAAGCGCTTTTATGACTTCATCACCACCATCCTGTCCTAACCGCAGAATCACAGGTGGTCACATATGAGCTCATATCCTAAGAGAGGTTTCGCTGGTCTAACCGATACATTGTCTCTCTGCCGCTTGTCAAAGGATCACTTCTGAGATCAATCAAGATCTTTTTTTTTTTTTTCGTTTACAGTTTCTTTTTCCTCCTCTGTTCGGTTTCTCAGTAGGTTTATGGCTCCATGTGATGTGATATAGTCATGCATATATAGCGTTCTGTATCTTTGTGTTAGATATTGTTGATTGAGAAATGGAGTAATGTTGTTTGTGCCCAGCTACGTGGTATGATTATCATACTGGAATTCTCAAAGCTGCTTATATATTTATTGTCCTTTTGTTTTCTCTAGAGAAAAATTCACTGTTCTTAAAGGAGTAGTTCACTTTTAAAAAAAAACTTTTGCTGATAATTTACTCACCCCCATGTCATCCAAGATGTCCATGTCTTTCTTTCTTCAGTCGAAAAAGAAATTAAGGTTTTTGATAAAAACATTCCTGGATTTTCTCCAAATAATGGACTTCAATGGGAACCAAACGGTTCAAGATCAAAATGAGAGTTTCAGTGCAAACTGCAAACTGTTCAAAGGGCTTTAAAAGACACCAGACGATGAATAAGGGACTAATCTAGTGAAACAATCGGTCATTTAAAAAATAAATATAAATGTTTAAGTTTTATAAGCACAAATGCTCACCTTTGTCTGTTCTGTGATGCACGTTCGTGACTCTCCTGCTTAAACTCGTTCATCTTTTTTCCGAGTCATGACTCGAAGGGTCCTTGATAAGACCCTTATTCATCGGCTGGTGTCGTTTAAAGCCCTTTGAAGCTGCACTGAAACTGTCTTTTGGACCTTGAACCTTTTGGTTCCCATTGAAGTCCATTATATGGAGAAAATCCTGGAATGTCTTCATCAAAAACCTTAATTTCTTTTCGACTGAAGAAAGAAAGACATGGACATCTTGGATGACATTGGGGTAAGTAAATTTTCAGCAAAAGTTTTTTTTAAAGTGAACTACTCCTTTAAAAAGTTTTTAATTAATATATTTTAATTCATTAAATAAATTTAGCCCTGAACAAAAATGACCAGAGTCAGAATAAAACAAAAATAGAGCGTAATTGTTTTAAAGTGTTTATTGCACTATCGCTCTTTAGCTGCAGGCAGTACCTTTTGCTTTCATCCGTTTCCAAAAAGCGCATGTCACGGTACAAATAAAAATGATGCAACTTCAGGTTCAACTGCTAAATTCATAGTTAAGCGAATTGGATTTAGATGATCTGCCTGTTGTGCATTGTAAAGTCTTGCACAGGAGCTCAATATTTGCAGTTGACTCCGATAGTAATGTTTAGTATATAAAGCAACAGATTTTGCACATGATCTAATGCACCAAAACGTTTATGCAAAAGATTCCAGTTTTACCACTGACTCGCGGAGGGTCATGCAATAGTAGTGATTCGTAGAATGTGTTAAAAGCACCTAATGGGTTACATGTCCGTCGCCACTTTTGTATCCCTGGTGAAAGAACAAGACATTGCCTATTTTTTGTTGATTACAGAACATGTTATGAAAAGGAAGCATATTTTGTACCTCCTCTTTTTTTTACAGTAACAATTAGCAAGTTTACAGTGGGCCGTTCTCTTGAGAATGCAGTTGTGCTGCCGCTGTATTGATGCTTGAAATCTGCGTAAAGTGTTTCAGCTGCACTGTAAAGAGGGGAGGACGCTGCCTGACTCTGTCTTACTGTTGATCTCTCTCTCTCTCTCTCTCTGTCATCATTGTCCGGACTTTGTGTGATCCCAGAGACCTTTAGTATTATAAAAATATATAGATATTGTGATATGTCTTCTGGAATATTGTTTGCAAAGTAATCCTAAATATTCTTCTGTATGTGTTGACATGTATACACTGTGCAAGGGTGTGCCTTTTTTACTCTGAATTATTTAATTTTGTATTTGAATCATTTTTTTAAAAAAAGAGACGTTTGAAATATGTTATTTTCTAAAAAGGGAAAGGTGAATAGGATGAATCCTTCGGTGGTTTTGCTGTTCATGTGTAGAGGTGTAAATATGCAAGTGTATTACGTGTTTGCAATATTATGACTGAATGTTGCAGTCCTAATGGTACAAAATCTTTATGGTTTTCCTGTTAGCTTAATTTACCAATACATTGTTGTTATAATTGAAGTTTTGTGTTCAAACTCTTTTGAGGCTTGGTGTGTGGCCGTATTTTCATTTCTGTCCTATCAAGCAATGTCGGTTCTTGTTTTTAGGACAACTTTCAGTGGAAGTCTATGTGTGTAATTCAGCACAACAACAAGCTTCATTAACACACTTCAGAATGGTTCTCTCTGAGTCTGATGAATTTGATGTATGGACAACACATCTGAATCTCAAAGACAGTTCAATGAGCTTTTTTGAGGGAAAAGGTCTTCACTTTTTCTCATTGTATAGAGTTTTGATCTCATGTCATTTGTAAAAACATGCTTTCATGTTGATGGTACAGTGTGAGTTTGATACTTTGACATTTGAGGAAGAGAAAAAAGGAAATGTGAGCCCTTTTAATTACGCTGTAAAAGGAAGATATTATTGGTTGTCAGTCTACTTGTCATAACTGTCGTTGTCTACATCATGAAAGTGTGCAGCTCTTGTGTGTTTGTGCTGTAGGCATAAAATATTTAAAAGCATCCTGTCCCATTAGCATTGGTCAATAAACCAGTGCATTGCTCAGCTTGATTAATGTTTATATAATATTCATGTAATATGGCAAAATCTTACATTCACAAGACAAACCATTAAAAAATACTAAATGCTTCCCCTTAAAGGTTTATATTTGGTTGTGTTCTTCGTTAATATAATGTCTTTTGTTAAATACAAATGGAACAGATTTTACTTGACTTTCAAAATATAATAAAGGCTCACAATTGCAACATTTTGTAAATTTTATAGAAGTGATTTTGTGTAAAATTTGACATAGTTTAGAAATATATATATATTTATACATGTATAACAAATCACTATTATAAATGATACAATTGCATGTAACGAAAAAGAAGAAAGGTCTAATCTTTTTGGTATATTTCATAACATTGTAATGGCGTGTGGATGCATTAACTGCTTACAACCACACGAGGGCGCCCAGCGCTCCCGTAACTGTTACATGACAATCAATGTAATTTAGGCCTTTCAGAAACGCTTTGCCTATTTTAGACGCGGCATTTTTTATTGATCTGTTTATTTTAATATGAAACGCTATACAGCATAATCAGTGTGTATTATTAACTTAGAGGGTAGGCTTTATGTAGTGTCATTTATGTTTGTCAAACAGTGCCGAACACTATATCAATCGAGTAGTTTAATCCAGAACAGCTGAAACAGAAATTGATCCGTATTTATTTATTTTTATTTATTATTTTATTATCAGTAGGCCTGTTTTTAAATGATCAAGGTACACTGAGGTTAATCTCAGAGAAATCAAAATAAACGCACTATTCATTTAATTTAAGTTGAGATGGGGCTTTACGTTTCAGAGACAAAAATGCTCTTCGGAGGCTGTTTAAATTTACGACTTTCAAAAGATTTTAACAAAGCTGAACTTTTCCGTTCTTTTTTTATATAAATGATTTTTTTTAACATTTAAAACTTTTATCATCGATTAAACAGCCTGCTTATCATAAACCGATCATTCTGACAGAACACCAACGAGATTATTAATCAAGCGCGGGCGACAAAATAATTAATTAAGTCATAAACACGGTGTTTATTAAGAGATCGTTAGGCCTACAGGTTTTCAGATTACTAAATTAAGATTAGGCCTAGAAACTATTTTAATTACGAGAACGAAATTTGCTTTAGTATCCACTGCAACACATATTAATGCAAATCTTCAGTGTGGAGTGGACCTGTTAAATCCAGTGAAGGTCTGACATTCAGTTGAGGAAGCAGTGAGAGCTATCTGCTTAGCTAGTAGGCTACCTTTACTAGTATGCTAATTTACAGCTAAAAGTTTATTGAGAGATTTTTTTTGCAGGTGGACATATTAGCCAGACCCTCGTAAAATATTTAACGTACATTTATACACTTAACGTACATTTAACGTTGTCAGAGCCGTAGCTATTTCTCATTGTCATTGATTATTTATTGACATTTATTTGTCTGTTTTTTGTTTTTATATCCATCGGGATTACAGTCTTATAAAACAAGTAATTTTTCTAGTTTGCACCCACCATGTTATTTTCTGTTGTTTGAACTCTAACTTACGTGGATACATTTCGATTGGGGTCAAAGCACAGACTTCCTCCTCTGAACTGAGAAAATTAGGCCTACCTACACTTCACTGAAGGCGTCGCACGGTAAGGAACTATTCGACAACATATGTCGCAGTTTAACCATTAAATGTTGTTTTTAAAACCTTTATATACATCTAAAATATAAACAGCTTCCTTTGACCCGAGGACCGAATTTATTCAAGGCCGAAGTAGGTTTTTGACGCAGAAATCTAGGCCCGTCTGGCAAAAAAGGCACGTGAGTTTTGTATTATAAAGCCCACACACTGCATTTGGTAATAAAAAAAGTAAAATGTTTATTTAGACAAAGTAATTAACAAACAACCGTTTGAATAGAATTGTAAAGCAAGAAAGAAGTTAAGAAATGTAGTAGTAGCCTATCACGCGATGAAGACTCGTTTCTATCATCGTGTGATTCAACATGTCTCCATTTAAGTTATACAACGAGCACATACGTATCATTTTTTTTTATTACAGTTTCAGGATCTGTCCAAAACAATACTGACGCTGCATTTATGCCCTTTAATCTGTAAATTTACTGGTGTTAAACATTTCCGCCGAAAAAAATCCATACAATCTGGATAAACATTCCGCGTGCCGCCATGTATTTTATTGGAGACTTCATGGACAAGGAAATGATTTATATACATATGATGTTCTAATCTAAACGAACAAGACGGTTTATAAAACACTGAGATACATTCTCCTTGCCCTCCAGTACTCACAATATTAGTTATGTAAGAGTAATTAATACAAAATATAACACAAACAATGCTGTGTTACAACGTTTGCACACATGGTGACAAAACAAAGATATTTAAAAAACGATATAAAAAAATGTAAGAGGTGGTTTATAAAGAAAGCATCTACATCACAGCTCTGTTTGCATGGGGTTGATGGCTTTGGCATCCATAAAGTCACCCAAGAGAGTTGGAGCCTTTATGAGAAGTTTTGCAGACTTTGCTGCTGAAAGGAGTTTGGCCATTGTGGCCTACTTTGGCAGAGACTCCATTAAGAGTGGAGATATGGGGGAAGTTGGGACGTGGAGACTGGACTGGGGTGCTTGGGCTGGGCAGAGAAGATGATGTCGAGGGGGCAGCAGCAGCAGTCGGGCTGTTTGCTTTGTCACTGTTGGAATCACTTTCTGTATCAGGCCTTCTGCCGCTGGTCATATCATCCCTCGGGCCGCTCAACTTCATTTTCTTGCAACCAGGGCGAACTCGGTACTTTAATGGCAAGGGCCCGTTCTGTAAAATATCAACATGTTATCATCTCTGCTTTAAAAGACATCAGACTAAAATGTATAATAAAAGTTTAGATAGACAGATATCTCAGTATCTGTCTTAGTTTAGATATCTTAGATATCTCAGATTCAATCCTCTTACCCTTCTCCATGTGTAGATATAAGCAATATCCATAAGAGTATAATAATCTTTCAATGGCTCATCTTCATACATAACTTCAATCTGAAAAAAGAAAGAAAAAATCTTATCTAAATAAGCTCAATTTGTCAATATATAAATGGTATTGGAAGCAGATGAAAAGATTACCTGAAAGGTACATGGAATATCCATCTTGCTTCTGAGAAATTTTCTGAGATGCATTACTGTCATAGCTGCAGGGCATTGTAAGTATCGCTTTACATTCACCTACAAAAATCAGACAATTACAAAAATTCAGTGTAGTCAACTATAACCCTCAATGAGACTTGTTCTCAGATATTTTATTAATTATATAGTAAATTAATGACCTCTTTTGTGGTGTCCTTTTCTTCTCCGTCTTTACCATCACACCTGATCATAGAAAAAAAATTAAAGAAATGTCTATCTAATAAAAGTTGTTCATTGTCTGGTGTAGCAAACTACTTTTACATGACTTTTACTTTTATTATTATTATTATTAATAATAATTCTCTAATAATAATTAAACGTACAAGAAGTTTATATAGAACTGAACCTACTTGTTCTGATCAAAAAACTCAATGGACAGACTGATGATCTCGTCATCAGCAATGATCCTCTTGTCTTCATCTGCCACTTCTCCTCGGTCTTCATTAGAACCATTAGTAGCTGAAGGACAAATAAATAATTACAACATTTAAAAAAACAACAACAACAAAAAAACAACACTGCCAATGAGTTATTTAAAACATCACAAATGACCATCTTAACACTTTACCATCAACTGATGGATGCTCCGCATAAAAATCCCTCCTTCTTTTCATCTCATCTGAGTTAAAGAAGCACAATGAATACAACAATATTTCTTAATAATTGTTTAGTAATGTGTTATTGCTATGACAATTTTTAACATAAATCTGAAAAAAAAATCAAATATTAAATTCTTAGTCACATCATGACATTTTGTCAGAAGTTGCAATGAAAGCCCCTTTAATAAATGAACACCAACTTTTTACACTTACTTTTGAACAGACCAGGCACCAGCTTGTAAACAATGTCCTGAAGGGTCTTATCGGACCTGAAATATACAAGCATTATTTGAGGGGTTACATCTATATAAAGAAACATTCCCTTCATTCAGTTGTTCATAATTTAGCCTAGAAATTTAAAGCTTTACTGGATTTTCCGGTAAGTAGGATTTAGGCTCCTGAAATAATATTATGGTAACCAGAAATAAAGTAGTTAATTAAAATAGACACAATCATTACCTGATATTGAGGAGAGGTTTTGTTTTATGAACTTGGACATCACAAATAGGACAATATTTGCTGGTCTCCAGATACCTCACAATGCACATTTTGCAGACTGTGAAAACAACAAACGACAAATTAACTGTAGCCTGATCAATTAAATTGCCCAACAAAACGAAGCATTAAAGAGAAGTATTATTTTAATAACATAGGCTGCTAGATGATTTTGGACTTACATGAATGCAAACATTCGACAATGGTGGAGGCGTCAATGAAGTATCCTCCACATAAAACGCACATCAAATGAGGATTGAGCTCCGTTATCTTGATTCTTGTTGTTCGGTGCATTGTCATGAGAATTCGCTGACCTGGTAACCAAACAAGACACAAATTAATATCAAGTCATAATTAAAAATGGTTAATCAGTTTAGATGGTCCACTTGCACTTAATGCGAACAAAAATGCGACACAAACAGACAAACACCTTTAACATGTAACCCGACAATTGACAACTCATATAAACTAGGCTCGTATCACCTTTGGCTTAACTCATTGGCATTTTAGTGAAGTGTCCGCGCACATTTTGAAATGGTTTTCATTTATTTGCAGGGATGAGTACAGGTGAGAGTTAACGGTAAAATGCCGACACTTACAGTTGCTATGACGACGGGTTGTAATTGGCATTATGCCAGTCAAAACGGAGCCGCATAACTCGCATGATTCACAGATGGTCCAGATTATTATGACCATAAATTCAACTAATTGGCGGTAAAGCGCGATCATTTCCTCTCGATCACTGTTTCTCTCGCTAAAAGACATACCGCTCCTTGAACGTGGCTGCCATTTTGCTAGACAGACAGCCCCGCGCGCCGCGTCCTGGCGGGTTCGCCCTCGTGAGGCTGCGACCTGTGCACCACACACTATTGTTGACGAAGCAGAGATGATCACGATCAACTAAACACGTCGTACAACCACCATTACAACAAGCATCGCTTCCAAATGTGATAGAGAATCTTCCCTGCCTTGCCGATGTCTGCGATGAGGAACACAGTCAACGGAAGCTCGAGAGCTCGCGTATTGTGTCCCGCTATCTTTAGACTGCGATATGAGCCTGTGGTTAGTTCACTTCAAACATGATCAATTTTCATGCAGACACCAATATCCCGTAACTGCGAATGTTCAATTTTAAAACCTTCCCAATGCAGAGCCTGGATCCAACGCATTAAATACAGTCAAATAAATTTAGACGATCTAGATTTGGCACAGATCAACCTTTAGATAGTTGCTCGGTGACTGAGAAAAGGACATTTTAGGCTACTACAATCTTATCAAGTGCTAAAAACAAAACAGCTCAATGGCGATCTAATAGCAAAAACCATCCAAAATATTGCAGAACAACTTACACTTTTGTCAGCGACAAAAAAAAGTATTTTATAGGCTATAGCCTACTTTTAGTTCTTCATTAGGCTAAGTAACAACTGTCTTTCATGAAGTTGGAGTGTATTATTTGAATTAAATTTGTAGGTCGGAGAATTAACGAAGCGGCAGTTCCAGCGAAGGCGAAAAAGCAGGTGTGCTTTGGTTTGGAACTGGTTGGCCCTTCCTCGGGCTTGACCATTAAAACTCACAAGCTTAATATGTGGTTTAGTAATACTATTCAAATTGTACTGTGATTTAACACTATATGCACTGGAAAACGGAACAAAGTTTTTTTTTTTTTTTTTCTATGAGGAAAGAAGAACAGAGTCTAGAAAAAACGGCAGTTCCAGTGACAGCTTACGATAGATAAGAGTCATTTATATTCAGAATAACAATGATGTGTCCTCTTTCTATTACTGTCAGAAAGAAGCTAGCAAACTTTTTTATGATTTGGCAATTAAATATAGATATAGTGTGGCAAAATTTATGGGGGAAAAAATATAGGCCTGATTAATAAGTAGCTTATAGATATGCACAGCATATGCGGGCCAGACATTGGGGAAACAGCAGTATATCTCCCAGTGACGGTTTAATCATTTAAATATGGCCAGAAAAAAAATTGGCAGAGAACTATATAGAACTTTGGAAGAGAACTATTAATTAAGTTCTAGTTTACAACCAATGTTACATTTATTCCTTCAATGAAGTTATCAAAAACGACGAACGTGTGACACATCGGGGGTGAGTCACATATAGTTAACCACTGACTGATTCAAAATTATGATCTATATTTTATCAGACTGGCGAGAGTGATATTTAAATGTCAAATATCAGAATTAGGATTCGTATATCCTTGCCTGTAAAAAATACATCAACAATGCAACAATGTTTTACAATATTTTTTTAAAACACCCGAACCGTGTTACATTTAGTGACAAATAAACAATAGCATACACGCTTGAAAATATATTTTCTTGGAAGTTAACAACCTCAAAATAATGGTATTTAATGCTGTTACAGCCATAGGAGGATGTAGCCACCCAACAAATAGCCTACGCATGAATTTAAGTTAATAAAATTAACTGACGCCATTAAAACACTGTGAAGTATTTTTTTCCTAAATATACACTCGCTATACTGCTCAATTCTATAAAATAAGAGAGCTAATGATTGATTTTAGCGCGAGAAGAAATGGATGAATGTGGACACCGGTTAACACCTGACCCAACTCGCCTGTTCTTCAGCGCGCGCCGACTTTTTAGGTTATAAACAACACTCGAAGATAATAACATACTTTAGTTTTACAAAGATGTCATACCCATTGACGTGCACTTTGTGTTAAGATATGCCATCGGTTGCGTTTAATAGAAAAATGTGAGAAAACTGAAAAGAAATTCGTATGAGAAACGATCACAGATAAGAGGCAATATTACTCTCTTGCCTCCGAAGAAGGAAAAAGAAAACAAAATCAGAAAAGCTCGTTACTCCGCTCTTTTATACATCCAAGCGTACATACCCAGTATATTCCCGATGGTTTCCTAGCTTTGTTTGTGGTAGACAATGAAACTTGAGAGTCGATCAGCAAAAAATGAATGCTACTGAAGCGGCCATCTTGGAATGAGCTGCAGACGCTGTCAATGGCTCGAACTAGCGCACTACCACCGTGCTCATTGTGGCCTTCTTGTGCAATTGCACATATGTTACCGGAGCTTAGCCTTTGCAGACACTTTCCGATTTGATTCACAGATAAATCCACAGATTCCGGTCATAGATGTTATATTACAGAGGCGTACTGCTCCCGCACAGCGACCTGGAAAAACACAGTGTCTGATGGTTGAGTGTGTGCGAACTGACACAGTCCCCAAAATGGCTTAGTTCGACCGCCCCACTCCATCACGTGATCTCATTCCTTACGGGTAGCCTGGGAATTAGTAGTGGGGTATATCATCAATAGGGTACCCCTCTGACGGATGTCTTTGTCAAACCTCACCACCCACATCACCACTTCTGAAGAGGAAAATCTCTCGCCAAGCCGTTGTAGGTTGGTCGGAGTCGTCATAAGCAATGAACTCACTTTTAGAGAAGAAACGTTTGCCCATTTTTATTTTCACGCAAATCATAATGCCCAGATGCTTAAGAAGTGCTAGGGTCATTTTGAATACTCCAACTAGTTTTTAATCAAATCATAAAAGTTGGCTAATGCAAGAGGAATCAATAATCGCTCCAAAAAATCTCAATTAACTACCCGGTGCATGTTGCTGCTCAATAGACCTACGCATAATATTTTACTTTACTGCCGTTATAGGCTATATTTATTTAAACCAAGTAAATGGCCTTATCGAAATAAGTCTCATTGGCTTTACATTTCTAATTTTTGGTTAGCCTACATTTTTAGTTAACGTGCGCTCTGGCTTTCCGTTTAGAAGTTATTACGCGCCTCATAGCCTATCGGGATAATGACTCGTAATGTTGGAATTCACAATCATTTTCACACAGTGAAGTTATGTGTCTCGTAAAATAAAAGTAGAGTGGTGATTAAATGAACCTTTTGATGTGAATATCTTACGAATTTGTTTATACAATGGGTCGGGGTTTTATAGAATGGGTCGGGACATAGCATTAGCTGGGTTGCTTTGCCATAGTCTAATATCGAATGTGGCTACACTTAACACTAACTCGCATAGAAAGAAAGGCGTTTCTAAGCAACGGCATATTTTATTAAATTACCATTAGGCTACTGTATACCAGTCCGGACTTTGTTGTTGGAAAGAAGACATTTCAATTTCAACAAAAATAAATTGTCATTTAGCCTACTGATCTACTGATCATAAAAGTTTGCGCAGTTCCCTAAGCCTTCACTTAGTGTAAACGTTCAGATGACACATGATTTTCAGATAGCCTAATAATCAGTGGAATTGTGATCGGATTGGTGTGTTTTATCTGTAGCGCTGGACTGTGGTTTAGGGCAGTACGTGCGTTCAGCTGCAAACCACACGCGCAGTCTGCCTGCCATGACGTCAGCTGCTCTAATACAGGCACTTCAGCGAAAACAAAGACGCTCAGCAAGCTGGCAGAAACCCGAGGCACTTTCACGTTAACCGTTCCGGCTTCTGCAAAACGCAAAGCTTCTGGTGTTAACACGTCGTACTAGTTTCACATGGCTATAATATTAGTAAAATATTGCCTATAAAAACAAACAAAGCATTAACTGCATCAATCGAATTGGTCAGTATAAGCCAATTGTAATTTCAGCGACTATAGTGTAGGCCTACTTTTATTATTCTCAAACATACCGATTACTTGTTTTATTCCGACTGCAGATATAGCCATACCGCATCAAAATGGCCGTAGGATATCTCAATCGCCAGGCGGGTGATTAACGCAGCACGAAATCTTCAACAACTCTGGAGAGATAGACTGAAAGACTGTTTTTTAACAACGTCTAGACTCTATAGTGCACACAGGCAGCATGAAACTATTTAAATAAATAGCCTACATAGGCCTAAGTGAAATGAATCCAAATGTGTTGCACGCTTTCGTCTTTGGCTACCCATTCTTTGCGCGATTAAGATGCTACTGCCAAGAAATGTGGACCCGAATCTTATTTACACATAAAAAAAATACATTACCATTTAAAGCACGAGCGCTTTCATTTGATCGTTTCTTTCATCTTCGCCCAGGAAGACAATTAAAAGCGACTTGTTAAAAAGTATAGCCTAAATGACAAACAAAAAGAGTAGATCTCTCGAAAAGTCTGTCTTATAGGCTATATTGACCTAAAGTTTAATGACTATTGATTATTGATCGTTTAATGATCGGACACAATTGATGTGTGGAATGAAAGTCAAGACAGATAAAGCCGCTTGGAATTTTTATTTTGAGGTTATGCCTTATGTATAAACTGATGGTCTAAATCGAATGACGACGATTTCATGAATAAACATGAATATTGTTCCATCATTATATTCAGCCATACGCATTATAATATATTGATAGCCTATTACTGGTTTAATATTTCATACAAAAATCTATGTATTAGCCATGTCAAATAAGTCAAAGAACTGGTTTGCATTTTTTTTTTTTTTTTCATCTCTTATCGTATATATATAGGCCTTGATTATCAGTTTTAAGCCGTTAATAATCTCTTCAAATTTTATCAGAATGATTTGTGCCGGTTCCTATTGGCTCAATGTAAGTATCCTTCTCTGCTCATTAATAATAGCCAAATAAAGTTTTTCTTTCCTTTTCGATACTGTCATGCTACATCTTAGAAAGAACCTGTAAGAATCAAAAAAAAAAAAAAAAAATCAAATGGTTGATTAGATTATGGGATTGACAGAGTTGATTGGAAATGTTTATATGGCAATTTTCCAAGTAGAATGGATTTATAAGTGAAGTGTAAAAGGTTTGTAATTCTGATGTATTTAATAACTCACACAAACACATAAAATGCTCTTTTATTAATACAGATTAATAAAAATGGGAAACAAAAACCGTTGACGGACCACCAAAATGGGCTATGGTCCAGTGAAAATGTATTTTTTATTTCCTATTTATTTAGAGCCGGTAATAACCTAGGCCTATTTCAATTTAGTAAATCGTGCTTTTGGCTTGCGCACTTTAATTGATTTACGCATTTACTTAATATTTTTTATTAGACTAAGCGGTTGCAATATTGCAATGCTTTAGCCTAAGTCATTTTGTGTTTTTTTCTTGTTTTCCAAAGACATTGAACTGAGGCTAACGAATGCCTTCTTTAGCCTATTTTGGAGAATTATTCCCTCCCCATGTCACGTGGTTAAACCTCAAGCTGTTTAATTTAATTAATTAATAATTTCTCACTGATACAAAATGATAGCTTATGCATTACACGGTCACACGTTATTATAGCGTGCATGCGTCCCTATTTGACTGGTCAGTGTCACCTCAAGGACAAGAGTTTAACAATCAACGAACATGGGCTAAATTAAAGATTTTTCACTAAACTAAAAGAAATGGAGATGTAGATGTTTTGTTTCAGATTTCCGTTGTTAGGCTACCAAAAAATAGGACAACCGCTGATATATAATTAGCTATCCACGACGCCCTTTTTTTTAGTTAAGTTTAAGTTTTCTCTAAAAAATGTGACAGTATTTAACATGTTTGCGCATGCAACTAATGGCCAAATCAAAGCTAATTTGAATTTGACTTGAATTTATATATATATATATATATATATATATATAATATATAGGCCTAAATTACAATAAAATAATTATAAACATATATAAAAAAGGCTGATTCCTTTTAAAGACTTGCATTTATTGTAGACCAGGTGGCTGTCACTGATCATCTCCGCAAATGGCTTATAAAATATATTTTAAATTTCTATAGCCTATTAAATTATCGTCGACTCATATAGGCCTATATTTACCAATAGATTTTGTTTACTTCCTATATTTTAAAGATATAAAGTTTAATTAAGCTTTATAGCATATCATATACTAGCATTTCAAATGTTTTGACTCTGTGAGTTGTCAATAGGCTATCACTCATTATTTTCTCATTCATAAAATAGGCGCTAATGAGATATTAGTTATCCATCCCATACATTGTTAACTTGAGCTTATATTGCTACCAGTACAGTTTTATATAGACTTTCATCTGAACTTCATGGCCCTGTTTCTGTCGAAAGGTAACGGGATGAATGTAGCCCTGAGACGGGATGAATGGATCAAAATTTTGAAAATTGAGACCAACGATTGAAATTAGATTATTAGGTTGAGAGAATAACAAACAGCGTTAGTCTACATGGGTACCATTCTTTCTCTCCAATCACAAAATAAATTTGTGAAAAGAATAGGCCTAATACACTTTTCTGCTGGTGACATCACTTCTTTTACAATGAAGGAAAATACCAAAGAGATAGCCGACGTGGGAAAGCCTGGAACGAAAATGACCGAGATAATCTTTTTTTTTTGTATTTGGGAGAGAGTAAAAAAACACTGCCACGCATCTACCGGTATAGCCTATAATGCTCACCTGATACTATTATGAAATAATATATAGGCTACCTCAAAAATTGAAATGCTAGGGGTCGTGAAAGTAGCATACTGTCATGGTAAGAATGGACATGACACGATCACGCACCATGTCACTACACTGAAGCTTCCACGCTTATTGGCTCGTGCTGTGGCGGCTGCATGTGAAACGTGTACGTACAGCAGGCAGAGCTCGAGCTATGGGCCCGTCTGAGCCGAACGACGGGAAGTTATGCTAAAGGCGTCTCAAAACCAAGGTTTCCGAATGGATAGTGTGTAGTAAACCTTCGAAAACATATCAAACTTTCAGCAATGGCTTTGCCCGAGATCCTTACGTTTGTGTTGTTCTCCGGGCTGTTCGTTATTCAGCCACTGCCAACATTAGCATGGGACGCAGATCTGGAGCTTTTCGATCTAGTAGAGGAAATCCCCCAAACCTTCTACGAATTTCTCTCGGTTAATCAGGTAAGATCAACTTGATGATACTCGTAATTCAAATTTGTCACGCCTTTTAACTCGGGTCATTCAAACGTTGTCGGTAAATGCGATTAACTTGAAACATTGCAGCGCACCGACGTCGATTTATCGTTGTGTGTTTACAGTGATTGCAATCTTATCAATGTAACCATTAGCTGAATAGCTCTCTTCGGCCTCACAAATATGCCCCCCGACTTAGGGTAGCTGTAGACGGACTCTGCCTCCTGCAGAACCTGGACGGCGGTGGGCATTGACAAAGAAACCTCCAGGCTGTGGGCCTATACAACACAACGTGACGTGTCATTGCTCAGCACATAAACGATTGTTTTATCGCCCTGCTTTAGTTTCGCCATTCAGTTGCTAAATGGTATCGAAGAGCCCGAGCTTTTATTATCATAACCTCTACGCGTAAAAAAAAAAAAAAAAAAAAAAAAAAAAACAGTTGGTTTCACTTTCTTTCCTTTACCGCGATTCAGATATCATATGGGGAATTGGAGATAACTTACATGAAACAAATTCCGCTGCTATATCTGTACATTACAGGAATTAACTGTCAATGCATTTAGAAGAAAATTAATTATGCTAATTCTCCGCTAAACAAAAATATTGTGGTTCTGTTTAGGAGCTGGTAGCTAGTTTCCATCTGGTCTAATATGGTTATTAGTTAGTTCATGCTGAAAAAGCAGCTACCATGCTCCAAAAAACATCTTTAACCACACTGATATGATCAGCTGGTAGCTGTTGCTAGTCGAAAACAGTGTAAGATACAGCTGCCAGTTTGAGCTGCATATTCCAGTTGATATTCCTTACAATACAGTATGTTTATTGGTAGTAATTTTATTCTTCATGTAGGGAAGCCAATCAAATGCTGATTTAATTGCTAGTGACTGTTATCTATTTCTGCCTGAAACACCAAAGGCAATCCAATCACACTGTCTATGCTACCAAAATTATCTTATGTGATGATTTTTATTACATATACTTATAACATGTACTGCAACATGTTCCTGATTCTGTTTCTAACAGGATGCGTCCTCCCCTGAGATCAGGAAAGCATATAGAAAGCTCTCGCTTACATTACATCCAGATAAAAACAAAGATGAAGATGCAGAAAACCAGTTTCGACAGGTAGGTGTTTTGTTAAGCGTGAATGAAAGTACTCTTTGGCTTGATGTTGATCATTTTGATTGCTTGCTTCTGTATATATTTTGGAATTCAGTTTGAAATATCTTCTTTGTCATTTCTTACTAGTTGGTTGCCATTTACGAAGTTCTCAAGGATGAGGAAAGAAGACAAAGGTGAGATTCTTATTAGCTTCTTATTCATTCTTATTTGAGATTCTTATTCATCCTACACCATTGATTCTCAAACAGTGTTAAAAGCCTTAAATTTGATTTAAAAATAATAATGCAGTGAAGTGTAAATGCATTTTATTTTATGGTGCCTTTCATAACCCCCAAGGTCAGCTTTCAAGCAAACAGTAAAAAGAATAAAAAAAAAAAACAATAAACAAAACCCAACCCATTAGCATTGCAAAATACAACAACTTAACAGCACATGCATCATAAATACAGTAAAATACAGTTAATAAAAAAGCCTGGGTAAAAATATGAAAATATGCAAACTATCATTATTACGAATATCGAGAGGAGGAGAGTGCCATAGGGGAGGGGCCTTATAGCTAAATGAACTGTATATTACATTTGCTTAAGTCTTTTAAAAATAGATTTTACTTTGTAGTTTCTTACTGCCTTCACAGGTATGATGACATCCTGGTTAATGGGCTGCCAGATTGGAGACAGCCTGTCTTCTACTATCGACGTGTTAGGAAGATGAGTAATGGAGAGTTGGGCTTCCTCCTCTTCCTCATTCTGACTGTTGGTCACTATGCAGTTATATGGTCCATCTACCTTGAGAAGCAGTTGGTAAGTGATGAATCGTTGTATAGCAGTGTCGTCATCATGTAATATTAGCTGAAATACTACATTTATATCAGCTTGCTTAGTGAGAGCTGCCGTGTCAATTCTTTTCAGGATGAACTTCTGAGCAGGAAGAAGAGAGAGAAGAAGAAGAAGCAAAGCAGTAAGACAGCAGAGGAGGTTAAGTCCTTAGGACAGGACAAAAATGAGAGGTAACCTAAAAACACCAGATGCTTTCTTAAAGAAGAGATGTTAACACTGCTAGTCAGACTTGTATATATTTGCTTCCTTTTTTTTTAGATCTGACAGGCCACACTGGCATGACATTCTGCCTCTTAAGTTAAGCATCTGGTTGTACTATTCAGTGAAGTCTCTTCCTCATATCATACAGGTACTGTTCCACCAGATTTGAGGCTTTTGAACAGTGTTTTCAAAATTCAAGCATATATACAACTGTGATCACGACCGTATGGTATGTTGTATTTTAGGATGTGAAGCAGTATTATAAAGATTATAAGGAAATGAAAGTAAAAGAGAAGGAGGCAGAGGCTCTGGCAGAACAGGAAATGCAGCAGAGTAAGATCATGATAATACAGTCATACGTTGCACATAATTAGTTGTGATCGATTAATTAGATTCAGTTGTGACTGTGACCTTTAATAATATGTGATGCTGGCCAATCTTGTTCTGCAGAAGAAAAACGACCCAAGGTGAAGAAACCTAAAGTGGAGTTTCCAGTCTATGAACCCAGTACAAATGCAGCTTTCGTGCCAACATATGATCAGGGAACGTCCATTGAAGAAATTGAAGATCAAATGGATGACTGGTTAGAAAACAAAAAAACGCAGAAGAAGGTGGTACTTTTTTGTGTCTGTTGAAAGAACGTTGATTTAAAATGCAAGTAGTGCAATAACCAATGGCTGGTGATGATTGAAGGTTCACGAGTGGACGGAGGAGGCTCTTAGCCAGCTCTCTCGCTGTATGGCCAAGTTTCCTGGTGGAACGCCAGGCCGATGGGAGAAGATTGCACATGAGCTAGGCAGATCAGTAAATGAGGTGAGTCTATAATTAGCATAGTTATGACTATTGGTATGCTGATAGCAGGGATAATTCTGATATATTATGTGAAATTTAATCAGTGTTGCATAAAAGCCCTAACTAAATCTGTGAAAAAAATAATTTGTTAAATAAAAATATTTCAAAACAGTTTTGTGCATTTTAAATGGTAGATACAGATAGCAGTGTCACCTGACTGTTTAGTTTTGTTCACACACGAACAAATACACTACAAATCAAAGGTTTGAGGCAGAAATTATTACTTTAAGCAAGAATACTTTAAATTGATAAAAAAAAAAAAAAACATTTACAATGTTACTGTCGATTTCTATTTCAAATAAATGCTGTTCTTTTGAGTTTATCAAAAAATCCTGAAAAATGGATCATGGTTTCCACAAAAATATAAAACAGCAAAAAAAAAAATAATTCAACATTGATGATGATAATAATAAATGTACTGGTGTTAAAAATGGATTAATAAAAGAAAGATAAATACCAAATTAGTACACACAGTATGTGCACATTAGATGGGTTTTTCAGTGTTCATATTTTGACTAGTAAGTAGATTTTTGTAAAGAGCCACTGAAACCAAAAAAACAATACAGAAAAGTCTTGTTTAAAATAAGAACTTTTTTTTCTATACAGGTGACGGCAAAAGTGAAGCAAGTCAAAGACTCTGTGACCAATACTTCAGGTAAGCTGCTCATTCATTTAAAGATTTTGAAGAAAAATGAAACCTAGCAAGTGGAATTTTATTCAACTGATATATTATCAAGAACATTTACTCATGTCTCTCTCTCTCTCTCTCTCTCTCTCTCTCTCTCTCTCTCTCCATTTTGTCTCTGGTTCCAGGGTTGGTGAAGCTTTCTGAGCTGAAGGGTGGTGCAGTGATGGTAAAGAGCTCCAGAGCTGTCACAGTCCCTGACAGTCTGATGACCCAAAGAGAGCAGCCCTTAGAGCAGCAGCAGCAGCCGGAGGATTCGGGAGAGTCCGTTGGGGCAGAGGACTCGGAGAACAAAGCACTCAGGAGGAGGACAAAAAAGTCTGCAGCCGGGAACACTGGAACTGGAGCAGTGGAGGAGAGGGTGAAAGGACGCAGACAACGAGACTTCGACCCAACAGCTGTGGATGAAGACAGTGAAGATGAGAAGAAACCACCATCCTCCAAAGAAAAACCCAGTGCTGCTGATGATGTCTGGACACAGAACCAGCAGAAGCTCTTGGAGTTGGCCTTACAGCAATACCCACGAGGCACCACTGAACGCTGGGACAAGATCGCTAAGGTGGTGCCTGGAAAGACCAAGGTAGGCATCAACGTTCTCACTCGTAGTCGTTGGAAAATTCATGTAAAGGGGACCTATTATGTGTATTGTATTACATTTTCAACCTTTTTATTGTGTTCTGTTGCTGTTTGAGTGTGAAAAAAAGGTCTGCAAAGTCCACTCCAAAACGAGTCATTCTCTATATCAGTATGCACTGTTTTTGAACTCCCTGAAATGCGTCGACTGTAGTCTTGAGTTCTGGAAACAAGTCGTCATTATCCATTATTTAGAAAATTCCCGGCATGCGCAAAATAAAGAGGACGAGACCTGATTTAGTTGCGTTAGTTCTGGGTTGTCGCTATGTCGAAGAAACTCTGTTTTTCTAACCCCGGATCTAACACGGTTACAGTGGTGTGACATTTCTGGAACGATCTATCACAACACACTGATTCAGAAGACCAATCAGAGCAGATTGTGCTTTTCGGGAAGGAGGTGCTTCGTAGAAACCAGAATTGGCTTTATGCCCAGCTGCACTACTTCCTGAACTTCAGCCAGCTCCTTGTTTCCTGTCTGCCATTATTGGTCAAATTGATTAATTCAGGTGTGTGATTATTGTTGCCATGACTACTGAGGTCAAGCACACCTGAATTAGACACACCTGAATTAATCAATTTGGCCAATAATGGCAGACAGGAAACAAGGAGCTGGCTGAAGTTCAGGAAGTTGTGCAGCTGGGCATAAAGCCCATTAAACGAGGGTACATATCTCGAAAGCATTGTTAGCCAACTATGGTCGCAAATTCAGTCGTTACCAACATAGTTATATGGTTTGGAATCTCCCGACACCATAGTTCGGACAAACGTTCGCAAACAGCATCGCAAACTAACATTTGGAACTACAACTCTCAAGCTGTGGTTAGAAGCATAGTTTCTCTTTAAATGCCATGTTGACTTAAATGGATCATGCCCTTGGGCACAATAAGCAATTCAACATTCAGTACATTCTTTGTCTTTCATTCTATTTAAATGTTTGTGTGTATGTCAACAATCACCGAGTGCTCATGTGCGTAAAAGGGAAGGGCAAGGGAACTTCAGAGTATGGTGTATGAGGGAATCCGCAATGAATCGAGCATTAATGAAGCAAAATGACATGTAACAGTCAGATTATCAAACAACAACTTATTTACTCAGAGAACATACACAGGAGATTACACAGAGAATGATGGGGTGGTGATGGCGCAGTGGATAAGAGCAATGTCTTTGGTGTGAGAGACCCGGGTTCGAATCCACTGTGAGACACCAATGTGTCCCTGAGCAAAACACTCAACCCCTAGTTGCGATCTCTGACATATATAGACCATTTCACAAGATGTAAACAACACTTCCTGTTTCAGTTTGTAACTGTTTTCTTTATTTCACATGTAAAGAAAACATCTTAAAGATGTTTGTTTAACTTTTTGATTTAGTTTTAAATGTTCTGTTGGTTGTATTTTATCCCAGCTTTTATGTAGTGTTAAAAAACTTACATCTTGTGAAATGGTCTATAGCAATTGTAGGTCGCTTTGGATAAAAGTGTCAGCTAAATGAATAAATGTAATGTCACTAACCACACAGAACAGACAAGAACCAACAATGAACTGAAGGAAACACAGGGAAATATAATGATTAACATAATTAATAGCCAAGGAGACAAAGGACGGTTTACCTTTTTTTTTTTTTTTAATACATACGATTGTTCCTACCGGTTTCTCCCGCAGCTTTGGTCTAATCCAGGTCCGCATGACAGCTTTAAAGGTGATGATACACAGGGCAACTTTTTGAGCATTGTTGCTGGGCAATGTTGCCGTCAACAGGCCAACACAACCAGATGAGACACAGGGCCCACGACCAATCTAAATTATCCAGATAGAAATGTATTGAAAAGTGCCCAAGCAACAATCGCTTGGCAAGATTCCCCAGCAACATTGCTCAAAACGTTGCCCTGCGTATCACCTTAACATAACGAATTTTTCATGCAAACCGTGCCCCGTTCCGAACTAAACTGCCAGTATGAAAATGTCATAACTAGGATGCAATCAACTGAAGCACAAGAAACAAACACATGGGAATGAAAATACAGCTAAACAAAACATAATCCTGACAGTGTCATGTTCAGTACAGTAGCATCTGGGAGATAAGGAAAATATTTAATTACCATAAGTTATTAACTCTCCACCTGCGAGTGACGTCATTCAAGACAGTCCTATATTGTTGAACCAATGTGGTTCAAATGACAGGGGTGCGACGGTCCGCCATGTTACTACAGTTGCGAGCTACATCGTTGTATGGGAAATGCACCCCAGAGAGTTTCTGAAAACCTATTCTAGTGGATGCCAAAAACAAAATCAAGACTTTGTAAAAGAGAATAATAGGTCCTTTTTAAACTAATATTTATCTGCACATAAAAGTTGGATTTTGATATTAGTTGATGAATTGATTCTATTTTTCCTATTCAGGAGGAGTGCATGTCCCGTTATAAAGTCCTGGCGGAGCTGATTCTGAAACGGAAGCAGACTAAAAGCTGACTCCTGGTCCTCAGTATTTCACCGTACCTCTCACCTGCTTGTTATGTGCCTTAATGCAACCCTACATCCTATTGTTAGACTATGTGTCATTTTCAGCGGAGCCTGAAACGTCAGCATTAATTATTGGAAATATCCAAACTGCCCATTTAAAGATGCTTTTATTTATTTTAGTATCCATTTCAGATTGACTCGTTTTTTGTTTCTCTATGCAACCATTTGAGGAGCAAAAGAGACTCGTTTTAATTTTTATTTCCCCTCAATTTTGAGGGGGATTTTTGTTTTTCAGAAGCATGTTGTGATGTAATCTGTTTTGGTCATTTGTTACAACATAAAGTATTTGCAATAATTGAGGTATCAGTCATGTAGTCATTTTTATGCTTCAGCAGATATTGACTATCTAATAGTTGTCCTCATATATTGCCATGATGTAGATTTAGATTCAATCAAAACTATTTCTCAGTTCAAGACATTTAAACGATGTTTAAATGTAAGATTTGTTATTGAAAGTATTACCTTCATCGTCAAATGACATTTGACCGCTTTGAATTTCTCAAACAACTACAGATATGTGTTGTTATTTTGCCTTTTATGTAGGCAAAGTCCAAACTTCATTTTATGTGCAACAGTATTTTAAATGTTCCTATGCCTTAATAATTATTTTCCATAATGCATTGGTTCAGGGTCTAAGGTCATTAACTTTAATAGGAATTTGAGGCCACGGAATGGGAGAATAACCTTGGAAAGGGGTATAATGTTATGGGATAATTTTTTGTACATCTTTCCTTTTAATTCTCTTCAGTGGTTTTTAAATCAATCATAATAAAAACAGTATGTACAGTTTGAGATTTTGGTGAACATTGCAATTTCATGGGCTGTGAATTTCTCTAAAACCAATTTAAGATTTAACCTTTTGCACTTTAAGTACTTTTTGATTATCAATTTGATAAATTTCTTAATCTGTGTTATTTGATTTGAGATTTTATGGTCTGGTTTCACAGACATGGCTTGAATAAAGCCAGGATTAGGCCTCAGGTTAATTAGCACATTTAATAAATCTATTTAAGGCGCCTTTAAGTGTAAAAATTACTGATGTCCATCTCAAGACAAAACAATGGCACTGGTATTATTTTAAGAAATGTCAGTGTAAGTTGCCGCCCTCGCGTGGCTGTGAGAGGAAACGCAACTACTTGTTTCCAGCCGTGCAGGTTTCATGAATTTACATAAGTCTTCACAGGGAGAATAAGCTGGTTTTATTCAAGTCAAATATGTTTTAACATCACTGAACAAATCTACATATATCACTTTATAACAACAAATGGGTTAAAACATATAAATAGCTCTTTAGGGTAATAACAAGGGTTTATTTAAAAAATATATAAACCAATATTTATACAAAGAGTACATTACTACGAACCTGGAACTTTATTCTTCATTGTCAAGACAATAGTGTCTTGGTTTCAAAGAGGTTTTTAAAGACTGTTACTCTTTCTGCACTGCAGTGCACAATTGTTTTACCAACCTGACAGGACAGATGACTGTTTTATACAAAATACCACATCACACCAATATTAACACATCAGATGTGTTAATCAGAGAAATTGTTTTAGGTTTGCGCATGAACTGCTGGTTAGGTGACCGGTCAGAGAACTCTGTTCAGTCCCAACCAAATCTCTTTCAGTCAGTCCCAGTTGTACAGTTGCACTCTGCTCCCTGATTGATATGCTCACATTTCTTTCTTTTTTTAGCAAGTAAAAGGTATAATTCTTTTATAGTATATAATTCTACATGCCCCCTTAATGTTTAAATGTATGTAGCCTCAATACATCAGGCTTTTGAGGAACGCTCATTTGTATATCTCTCAAGTCATAATGTATTGCACTGATTCAACAATGTGCTGAACGCATTCTTTAGAAATGTTGGCCCATATTCATAGCATGTTGCAGTTGATGGAGATTTTTGGGATGCACATCCAGGGCACGAAGCTTCCGTTCCACCAAATCCCAGATGCTATTGAGATCTGGTGATTGTGGGTGCCATTTTAGTACAGTAAACTCATTGTCATCATGACTCATGTTCAAGAAACCAATTTGAAGTGATTTGAGCTTTGTGACGTGGTGCATTATCCTGCTGGAAGTAGCCATCCAGCAGATGGCTCTCTTACACAATCAGAGCATCTTTTTGTAACGTAAACAAGTTAAAAAGACGCCACTTCTTCATAGTGGCAAAAAAAGTATATTAAAAAGTCCTAGCTATAATTCAGTCAAAAAGAAGGGCGACATACTCTCTACGCAGAGATATTACGTAAATCTAACATCGTTTCTATTAGCACATAGTGTGTAACTGTAGCTAACTTTGCTAACTTCACAACGTGGCAAGACGAGCGCAATTTCAATATCAAAATTATCACATCTTCTCAAAAACGGAAGAATTTAGATAAGAATTTAGATGAAGAACCACGAGATATTGCGTATTTTGCTCATTGTCCTTTCTCAATTCGCTTTCATTGCTGCTTTGATTAGCAACGCGCTCGCGGGACAAGGAAAAGGTACGTAATTTCTTTTCATTTATTTGTGGATATATAACTAGTTATACATCTTCTTTCTTTTTTTGGCTTTCAAGGTCCATTTCAGCGCAGCACTGGAAATATATCCTACAGATATCAGACGGAGATCACTCCTGCAGGATGGACCTTCTCTATATGGGGTGTCATTTATTCCTGGCTCTGCCTGATGAACGTATATATCCTGACCTGGTTCTGTAGAGGGTACTTCAAACCACACACACTCCACTCACATCAACACTATGCTTATTCACACAGTTTGAAAGACATTATTCGGGTTTGATAGTCTAGTCTGAATTATTTGTTCTCAGGTTGTACTCAAGTCCAGCAATCCTGCCCTCTGAATTCTTTCTCTCATGGATCATCAACATGATTCTGAACAGCACCTGGCTTGTCTTGTGGGATAGAGAGTAAGTTATTGGCAACATAGTTTTCGGCGTAATCATAAGAGTTTTGTGTGGTGTTTTATTTTTTCTTGTAAAGTCTGTCACAGGAGGTCACATGTTTGTTTCTCATTGATTTAGATTGATGATCCCTGCACTGGTGGTTCTTGCCCTGATTGCTTTCACCAACTACTTGCTGATCTTCTTCTCTTGTGTCGGTATACAGACTCATGGATCTTGGCTGAAACAGCACCACCCAAAAGACTTTCTTTGCATCATAGTGTTGGTATGCATTGAACATATTTGATTCCACTTGACAAGAGGCACTCATCATTTTATATTTTTCTTTAGGTGGGCATATCACCTAAAATTGTAGCGTATTTAATTGCACAGTTCCGACTTAAAATATAGCAGATAAATTAAGTGCAGTACAGATTCACTTGTTTAAAATGGCTATGCCATGTGTACCTCAGGTTCAAAATGGTATTGCCACCTATGCAACATGGACAACCATTGCCACACTACTCAACTTCACTATTGTGCTGGATATGGCATCAGTTTCCCCAACAAATGCTGCTACAGCTTCTTTATGCATACTTCTGTTGGAAGTAATTATATGGTAATCATAATCATTTATTTTCTGCTACAAATTCTGTCATATTGGGTGAAAGACATAAAGCACATTTTTGTTGTTCGTAATCGTGTTTGCTTTTCCAAAAAAATGAAATTTATACATGCAATAATTTAAATACACATCTTTTGTTAAGTTCTGAAATATTTTAAAAGATATTTTTGGGAAGCATAAAGTCAAAAACATTAGGTGATACAACTCATATCATAATGAAGACACAAAAAATATTTTTTGAATTTTATATTTTTGACTTTTATTATCATTTCGCAGAAAATTAAACATTAAAAAAGACCATGAAATTAAAAACATAAAATAGGAAATGATATAATGAGTTAGTCTCCTAAAAGGTCGAAAAATTTTACTTTTTTATGACAAAACAAGGTTACTGTAATTGTCGTGTGGTACAACATATACACATATATTCATGTATTTTTTTATTTTCATACACCACACCAATCATTAAACTGAAACCTTTCAATTGAAATTAAATTTTAGCAAATCTTTTTCTTTATCATGGGCACTTTTATGTCATTGACCCATATTTAAGAAATGATTAAAGGCATTAGATCAGCACACTATTTCTAAAGAATTCTTTATTTCTTTGCAACAACTTCTACAGGTTTGCGGTTGAAAACTTCCTAATAGAGAAGCATGTCCGTTACATCCTCACCGTTTACCCTGTGATTATCTATGCTCTAAGTGGAAGCCTAAGCAAGCATTATGACGCAGCAGATCCTGGCCGGAACGCAGTATTTTCAGGTGAGTCAATGATAAACACACCCATGACCATGTATTTGTAGTTGAGCATAAATATAGCATCATTAATGCACGAAGTGAAAGTCCTCGCAATATGTTACATATTAATAAAGCATTGTGCTCACAGTGCTTACAGTGTCATGCTCTTATTTTCCATAGTGGTGCTCCTTGTGATGGTCTGTATTGTGTTAGTGGTGCGGGTGGGTCTGGTGGTTTGGAGACACAGGACTCGGCCTCTCTTCCATGAAGTGAACCCTGAAGTCCTGATGTCACCAAACAGCGGCACTGATCAGTAACCAAACATCATAAACGCTTGTGTTTCTCGTGTAATAAATATGACATGTCCTGAATAATAACCCTTCCAGGTTTGCATTACCTGCATAAATGTGTTTCAGCTGGGGCAGATGCTTATATTTGCATGGAACTGTAGCAGTTTTGTATTTAATATGAGCTTGAGCCAGGCCGTATTAATTGTGCCTTACATTAATAGACATTGTGTCCTGTTATGTATTATACACTACCATTCAGAAGTTTTCTATGTATTTGAAAGAACTGTCTTATGCTCACCAAGACTGCATTTTTGTATCAAAATACAGTAAAAACATAGCTATTGTTACAATTTAAAATAACTTTTCTATTTTAATATATTTTTTAAATGTAATAGTGTGTTTATATGCATACAGTTACTCGTGACCAAAAATAACAGTTTTATACCTGACAGTATTCTGATTTGCTAGTTACTATAAGATTTACATGTGCGTGTATTTACATTAAAATGTAGTAATTTAGCAGACTCTGTAATCCAAAGCAAAATACAAATAAGAAACATCATAAGCAATATGTCATACAAGAACCAATAATAATAACAAAACCTCATTGCAAAAGTAGTACAGAAGTCATAGGAAAATTAAAAAACAAAAAATGTCTCGTTTGTTTGTTTAAAAGGTGCAGAATGCAATTTCTGAGAAACTGTTGAAAATAGTGCTGCACGATTAATTGCATCGAAACAGCAACGCGATTTGCCATTTTTATTTTTATTTTTTATTTTTTTATGCGCAGCTTGTCAGTGCGGTAGTAAATGTTGCTTCATCTGAACGCCAGAGGGCGCTCTCACACACACGTCAAATATGCCCCGCCGCTGAAGTACTATAACGTACATCATTTTAGGAAATTTCTATCGGGCATCATCGCTTTAGCTGAATAAACAGAAGATTTAAACACTTGTGATTGTTGATTAAACATGTCTTATAAATACACGACTGCCTTTTTTTTTTGTGTGTAAGAAGCCACATCATCTAACAGAAGGATGCTCCAAATAACAAACAATCGCAGCCTTTGCGATTTCAAAATCGTGATGAGCCAAATCGGTTTAAAGTGCGATTACATGGAAATTGTGATGAATGGTGCAGCTCTTGTTAAAAGTATCCCGCAGGATTCAGTTCTGCTCCTGCAAAAATATATGTTACCTTTTCCCGCTCCTCCCCGCAACATTCATGTTTCGTCCCACTACCGCACACAAAAGCACGCATAAAAGTACTAATCGATTTTTTTTTCTGTACCTCCATGAAATAGGCTACTTTCAAGTTAGCCTATGTGTCGCCACCTACACATCAGCATAAATGCTACAGATATTAAAGCATTAACATTCACAAACCGCTGTTAATTTATCAAAAGCAAACAGGCTACTGTGTGCATGGTTTGGCATGACTGAATACGGCAAGTGCGCTCCCTTTCCTAAAAAGCTGACATCTCACTTCATTGCGATATCACAAATTATTATTATTATCAAGAAACATAAATTATTATGTTATTATCAATGAAGCTGATTGCACAATTACATTTCTACACTTTGTTTGTTATAATCAGAGGATTTAACGGCATGCAGAATGCAGCACTGAACAAAAGTCAGTTTTGAATCTTAAATGGTTCTAATTGCCATTGCGTTCAAGAAATCAACACATATGCCTGTGATTGGCTACATTGTTCACCGCTGTAAACATGTTATGAAACTCTGGCCTGTAAATCATTTCTATTTTATTTTAGTTGTTTTTGTTGCTTTTGTGCAGCAGATGAATAACAATTTATTCAGTTTTAGATGTTTTATTTATACTCATTTCTATATTGCGGGAGTCCCACGAATCATTTAATTCTCCCGCAACCGTGTTACAATTACCGTGTTTTTGTGATTTCAAATATCAACAGTGTTTCTCAGAAATCGCTTACTGCACCTTTATGTTGTTAAGTGTTGTAAAAGACAATAATACTTATGAAATGCTCATTTATGAATGTTTAATAAAATAGTTGCATCTGATCTCACTGTGAAAATCTCATTGTTAAAGGTTACTAAAATTTTTAACACAGACGTGGCATGATACACACTATGAATGAAACACACTATGATACACACGATGAATGATTCGTGACAAACAACTCTGATAGGTGTTTAGTGCAAGCGCTCTGGAAACCACCTTGGTGTTGATTGCAAGCTTGTGAAGAACCATTGAGTTTTCAACAGTGATTACAGAGACAGTATACCTCACATTCTGTGTGAGTACATGCTTTGATCACGGCTCTTCATGTACATTTACTTTGGTGTGGATGTGAACTGAAGCATCTTGTCATGCATGTTGTTGCCCTTTTGGAATGTGTGTGTCTCCTGGCAGCAGCTGCACCAGGCTTGACCCTGTGTACTTTGGCTTGTTCACTACAGGATGAATTACTTATGAGAAAGTAAAAGACAAATAAAGGACATTTTTTCCTCCCAGGAGATTAACATCCCCTCCATTTTAGACTTGCTTACCCTCTGCAAATCAAAGTACTATGTAATTTTATTCTAATGAAACAAATAGTGCAAAACAGCATACTGAGTCTTGTGCTTATTTCTAAATTAACACATTTTTTGTTGTTTATAACATTATGTATATTTTTTTTAATTATGAAATTTTTATACTGAAATGGACTTCCTGTCTTAAGCTACACGTTTTTGTTTTCTTTTGGAAGCGTGCTTGCCCTGGCTAGTGCAGTTGATAGCTTATACTCTGATTTCACGCAGTGTCGCCTTAAATCTTAGGAGAGTCGTGAATACGATGGCGTATTGTTGTGTTTAATGTAGAAATTAGAAATTAAAAAATTTACATACATTTCATTCATACTTTAGACTATATACAGGGAATTTAATTTATAATTAAAAAAAATGTTATATATAATTTAGAACGTAAAAACAAACAATATACATATCCTATATTGGATATTAAAGGAGTAGTTCATTTTTAAAAAACCTTTTGCTGATAATTTACTCACCCCCGCATGTCATCCAAGATGTCCATATCTTTCTTTCTTCAGTCGAAAAGAAATTACGGTTTATGATGAAAACATTCCAGGATTTTTTCCATATAATGGACTTCGTTGGGAACCAAACGGTTCAAGGTCCAAATGAGAGTTTTAGTGCAGCTTCAGAGGGCTTTAAACGACACCAGACGATGAATAAGGAACCCATCGAGTATGCAGCAAAGCATTTGTGAAGCCACAAATCGCAAAACCTTGAGGCGGATGGGCTACAACAGCAGAAGACCCCACCGGGTATCACTCATCTCCACTATAAATAGGAAAAAGAGGCTACAACCATGAGCTCACCAAAATTGGACAGTGGAAGACTGGAAAAATGTTGCCTGGTCTGATGAGTCTCGATTTCTGTTGAGACATTCAGATGGTAGAGTCAGAATTTGGCGTAAACAGAATGAGAACGTGGATCCATCATGCCTTGTTACCACTGTGCAGGCTGGTGGAGGTGGTGTAATGGTGTGGGGAAAGTTTTCTTGGCACACTTTAGTTCCCTTAGTGGCAATTGGGCATTGTTTAAATGCCACAGCCTACTTGAGCATTGTTTCTGACCGTGTCCATCCCTTTATGGCCACCATGTACCCATCCATCAGATGGCTGCTTCCAGCAGGATAATGCATCATGTCACAAAGCTGGAATTATTTCAAATTGGTTTCTTGAACATGACAATGTACTAAAATGGCAGCATCTTTGGGATGTGGTGGAACGGGAGCTTCGTGCCCTGTATCTGCATCCCACAAATTTCCATCAACTGCAAGATGCTATCCTATCAATTTGGGCCAACATTTCTAAAGAATGCTTTCAGCACATTGTTGAATCAATGCCACATTGATTTAAGGCAGTTCTGAAGGCGAAAGGGGGTCAAACACATTATTAGTATATTATAAAAATCCGTCCTTATCCTTAATAATCCTTCAGGTGAATGTTTGTATATACATATAAAACTGAGCAGATTGCGAAATACTCAGACCAGCCCGTCTGGCACCAACAACCATGCCACGCTCACAGCCTTGTTTTCATGATCCCTGTTAAATTCAATATGGCTTCAAACCTGACTAAGAATTTATGTCAACCATTAGAGAAGCTGTTTTGCAATCCATACTAACAACTGATTTGTTTACATGTTCACCATGTCGCATCACTGTAATTCCCATTTATTTAAAAGCCTCCACATGTGTAGTATCACGGATGAGTCAGGTTTCAATCAATAGAATCAATTTGTCCAATGTATTTAACATTCAGGCATTTCACTTGGTAATACACTCAAATATGGAACAGCTGCAGATAGTATTATGAAGTGTATGGCTCATTGCAGTGAAAATACCAATCTTTTTTTTCTCTTGTGAATAATTAAATCATTTTAATCAGTTAGATGTGCAAAAGTTGGATGCAGTCTTTTTTTTTAGTTTTTTTTTTTAGACAATTTGTGTATTTTCCCAAAGTACACTGGCACATGATTCATTACGCAGGCTACGACTTGTGCAGTGTCTCTGGTATTCAAACAGCAAGTTTAACGTTTGGTATTTGTATGTTTAAACAACACAGAGGCCAAACACACAAATCTCTGCATTACAATAAAAATGTTCAGTAGGTAGTCCACCATAAACATTCACACAGGGTTCTTTTTGGGCAAAAACAGGAGCAAACAAATTAACAATTACATGTATTGCTAGTCTTCAACAGTATAGTTCACTCTCAAGGACAAAAAAAGCCATAACCACCATTGCTTCTCCTTTCTTCCAGGTAAGGGGGTTTAATGTGCAAACTGATCTCTAACCAGATTTCATGTTGAATTGCCAAAGGGTAAACTGAATCAACAGGTTCACCTTCATGTCTGTCATTGACCCTATTACATTTGGAGAATTGATTTGACCAAACGCTTATGAATTACGATGGCCTACTCACTTTTCTGCCCAAAGCATCAAACCTCTTTGATTTAATTTGCTTTTACTTCTGCACTTCTGTTGTTTTACCTTGCCTAGTGGCTATTTTTTTTATTGGAGGCACTCTCCTCTTTGAAGAAGTAAACACTTTTGGTGGCAGATTATTCTTTAAAAATAATATTATTTTACTTAGTTTAGAATATTGGCTTTTGGATTATACCTCATAAATCTTATTTTTTTGTAGCCTTAAATATATTACTATGCTGATTTGAATGGGATTTGAATGGCTTGAACAATGTTTAATCCAGTACTGAGTGTATAACAATTTTAAGCAAACGTACACTATAGAAGAATATTCGTATTGTAATCTAGAGTTTTCATGTGCCCTATTTTAAAGTTACCATGAAATCCAAATTGACATTTCTTTTTTTAAAGGAATTATTTATTCAAAATAATTTATTCGTGCACATCTTTAATCGTAGTTAGTCGTAAACTTTAATCAAAATATCTTCCCAGTGTTTACTGGTGGGACGGCGGGACATCCTGTCACTCACATGACATCACAGCTGTAGCAAACCACAATCGTCCAATAAATTGCTGATGGACAAAATTAAGACAAGACATTTTTTTTCTTGTTTGAGCAGCAGTTTCACTTATACAGTATGTCACACTAGGGATGAAAAGACTATTGCAACTTACATTTCATGTCGACTGTAATATTAATAGCTGTGACCAAAATTTAAGCCTCAGCTCAGGTATAAGACAGTCATTGTTCCTATGTTGATTTTTGGGTGTGATTGAATATACAAAACATAGGCCTAGTTATTTCTGTTTCGACCAATGACAATGAGGATATAAACTAACTAGGAATTTATAAAAAATGTTTAATAAACTATTGCTCCACACTTTATGAATAAATTGTGACTCAAACAAACGGCATAACATTTTTTTTACTCTGCTCTCTGGAATACTCGATTCTCATTGGTCAATTGAGCCACCAGGTGCAATATTTCCTAATATTAGCTGTTGTCCATGGCAAGACCCTATTCCTGACTGAAACCATGCCTCTTTTATCACATCACAGAATTGCGCTCTATTTTTTAAATCAAATGCATCTGGTGCAATTTTGCAATTTTGTGACATTGGAGGACTTGTATATTAATTTTACTACAATATTATTCCAATGTTCATCTCGTGGCTAGGTTGATAGTTTTCTACATTTTAAATCAATTTTTCCACTGCTTTATTCACAGTATCTAACTGACAGTACATGACAAGTATAATTCTCAAAGTTTTAACTCATTGTTGCCTCGTTCTACATTTACACGAGACAACCCCCTGTTCCAAAGTTGTGTCTCAGACACAAGCACTTAATTCATAAAATTCATACACTACATAGTGTATTGTATAATGTTATTTTGACATCCAGCATCAGAGTCTGAGAAGCTGTGACTGTCGAGTCCAACATTCCTGACTTTTTTAGTGCATCATCCAGGTATTTAGAGTAGGCTACACTCTTTCTTTTGGAATTTTCAGTGTGAACACACTGCTCACGCTATTTATACTACAAAATGGGGTAGAATAGTGCACAAGCACGCAAATTGAGACGCACCTCTAGATTTGAACAGGATGTGGGCTGAAGAAGGATAGAGTCCAGAAGATAGTGATAGATTAGGCATGAGATAAGGATTGTTATATTCCTTCTCCATCACAGAGCCACAGCCAAAAGCAAAGGTTTCAGCTCATCTATTCCACATGTGAAGGCATATTTCCTTCTTTAGACTGGCAGCACAAAAAGACTTCTGCTAATATAGATTCTGATGTATTTGTAAAGGTATGGGCATTGCCAAGTAAGTTTATGACACATTGTTGATAAGGGAAGTTAATGACACAGTAGTTAAAAAAAATCAGGTAATCTGTCTTTTATTAACACTTTTGAGGTCATATGGCACTGTCTTACTTTTCAGCTGTTTTATTCAATGATTAGGATTGTATGGCATTCCTCAGATCTGCGTTCTGTGACTCATCCAAACAAAACAGAAAAAACACCAGGATTCAATTTCACAAGATTTAAAGGCACATTAAAAAAAAACAGGATGCAATTATACAATAATTAAATGCATGATGTTTTTGCTTGTTTCATGTGCACAGATCTTTTAGCCATGCTGGAGTGTACTGAAGGTCACTCAATGCTTGGTTGACAGAAAAAGTTGCACACATGTTTGACATAAATTGTTGAGTTTTGTCTTTTTCCAGTTGTATAAATCCTTTGCTTGCAGTATTGTTGTTAGTAATGGTGAAGGGTGCAATTATGTGTGCTGACGCAGAATGTCATAAAGTCAATGCATCTAAATGAGCATTAAATCTGCAAATCAAATAGTTTTTTGAAAGATCAGCGAGCTGAGACTATGTGAACCCTGAAAATTTAAAAGGAATATCATTTTTTTAGGGCATGTAGCCTACACCATTTCACATGCACTGAGTGTAGGGTACATTCACTTATCTTGTTGTTCCGGCTTTCAAAAACAACACTATAAGAGCTCATGCGGTTGGTTGGCTATAATCTATAGGCTATTAAACTCCATTATACTTTCAAAATGATCGATTTCATGCTCCAAGCACATAGGAATACATCTGCT